CATTTTTTAATTAATTAATTAAATAATTAATTTAAATTGCAATTAGCGCAAGAAAAAAAAATGAAAAAAAAAGCTGAAGCAATGTATTATATATTATTTGGAAAATATAAAAAAATTCGAATAAATGTTAAATAATTTGTGATATAATTAAGCAAAAATTAAAATGTCAAAATTAAGTTTAATTTGTGTTAAAATGTTTAAAATAATAATGAAAAAAAAGAGAAAATATAAAAATATATCACGAATAATTTATAAATATTTGTGGAATTTTAAAATTTCATTTAAATTATTCTCTAAATTTACTTTAATTTAGCAAAAAAAAAAAAAAAAAAGGGAGCGTTGTTATAATTATTTAATTTAATTATAATTACAAAATTAATATATTACTTATTATTTATATTTTAGAAAAGCAAAATATTTTTATTTTTAATTTTTCTTTTTTTTTTTTTGTATTACTAAAAGTATTACTTTTTTTTGTATTACTAAAAGGAATGATTCATTGTTGTATTTTTTTCTGATGAATAATGTATGTAAGATTTAACTAAATTAAAATTTTGAAAATAATTAGTGTAATATTTTTAGATTATTTAAAATTGTGAAAAATTAGTGTATTTATATTAATTTAGATAAGTAAAATTGATATATTCCAATCAAATTAAAATGATGTACTCAAACTAAATTGAATAAATAAATAAGAAAAATTAATGTATTCAAATTAAATTAGATAAATAATAAGTAAAATTGATGTATTCCAATTAAATTAAATAAATAATAATTAAATTTGATTTACTCAAATTAAATTAGATAAATAATAAGTAAAATTGATGTATTCCAATTAAATTAAATAAATAATAATTAAATTTGATTTACTCAAATTAAATTAGATAAATAATAAGTAAAACTGATATACTCAAATTAAATTAGATAAATAATAAGTAAAACTGATATACTCAAATTAAATTAGATAAATAATAAGTAAAACTGATATACTCAAATTAAATTAGATAAATAATAAGTAAAACTGATATACTCAAATTAAATTAGATAAATAATAAGTAAAACTGATATACTCAAATTAAATTTATCACAGATAAAAACACGTTTGCTAGTAACCTTTGTAATTCAAAATATGATTTAATACATTTCACAGTTGTGTATGTGTGTGTGTGCGTGCATGCGTGTATGTGTATGTGTGCATGTGTGTATGTCTAAACCTCTCTTTTGCTCTTTTTCATTCTCTCTTTTTTTCTGTTTATCATTTTTTTTTCCCTAAATTAAATTAAAATTGATAAAAAACATTGCAAAGGAAATGTGTAATGAAAGAAAAATTATGACAATTGCGCCATTACAATTGCGCAACTAAAGAATTTGTAATTTGTAAATCATTCAAAAAAAAAAAAAAACTTACATTTTCTTAATATCAGCAGTTAAACGTAAAATTTTAAAATTTCACCACTCGTAATAATTAATTTTTTTAATTAAATAAATAAAACACAAAATCTAAATTGTAAAGCTATAATTTTTTGATCATTAGAATAATTTTTAAAAATTTTTTGATTTTTTCCTTTTAATGAAATGAAAGAAAAATTGTTATTCAATTAAATATATATCATTTAAATTTTAATGCAAAATTTTTAATTTCAATATCTTTTCAAATTCTAATCCTTTTATTTTTCAATAATAATAATAATAATAATAATACTAATAATAATAATAATCCTTTTTGTTTTATTATCGAAAAGAATTAATTCATCAATTTTATTGATTTTCATAAATGACTTATCTTCTAATTACAAGTTAGAAATTAAAAAAAAAAAATTAAACTAAAACAGCAAAAAACAGACAACAAACCAACACAAAATAATAAATAAAAAAAATAATCATGGTATTTCAAACCAAAATTAAAACTAATCATAGAAAAATAAAAAAACAAATAACTAACACCTAAAGATATTAAGCACCAAATATTTTGCTAAAAAGTTTTCATTATTTCAAGTTGAAATGCTAGGCGCAAAAATGCAAATATTCGATTTATATTAATTAGAATTGATTTTTCATTAAGTTTATTTCATTAAGATAAAATTCATTTAAGACACAGAAAAAGAGAAAAGAAAAAAATTGAAATTAAAATTTAATTAGGTATACAATTGGCACAACTAAGTGTATTTCACTTTTCATTGCATTATTTTTTTTTATTTTCAAATTTAAATTTTTTCACTTCGTTGGAAATTTTTAAATGAAAAATTTTTGAATTCTTTGTTGAATTATTCAACTGTGCTAACAAAGAGTTCAAAAAATAAAAATAAAAAAAAAAAAATAATAAATTGATTACTTTAACTGTGTGAATAATTCAATTTCAAAAATTTTGTATTTCGTAGGAAAAAAAAAATTGGTCGAAAATTTTATTAATTCGATTCAATTCAATTTAGAAAAAAAAAAAAGATTTTGTAAAATTAAACAAAAAATGTATGAAATGGAATAAAATATTAAAATTTGCTTCTATCATTGGAATAAAATATTTGAAAATTTGATTTAATTCTTTTAATAATCACTACAATTAATTTTCTTCAAATTTTTTTTTTTTTAAAAATTTAATTGTAAGTTTATAAATTTTACGTAAATTATAATAAAATTAGTAAAATTTTTGCAAAGGAAAGGAAAGCAAAATTTAAAACTCTAAAAACTTACATTAATTATTATAATAAAAAAAATTAGTATTAAAAAAAAAAAAAAAATTAAAAAAATATTAAAAAAAATTTTTTGTATAATTTCTTATTTGAATGAAAATTTTTAATTAATTTTTTTTAACAAGAATTAATATTTTTAATAATAATTAATTAATATTTGTAAAATTTTAAATAATGTTTATAAAAAAAAAAAAAAAAAAAAAAAAAAAAAAAAACAAGTCAAACAATTCTATGAAAACAATTTTTATTTCAAAATTGTAAAAATTTTAAAATAAAAAATGAATAATTCATTGAAGAAGAAAAATTTGTCACAATTTCATCGTCTCTTTCTCTTTTTTTTTTTTTAAAAAAAAACAAAGTTCAATTTATTGCAACATAATTATTCATTTTTTATTAAATATACCTGTCATTTGATCATTTTTAAGTTTTATTCATTGCAATATTTTAGCTAATAAATTTTTAAAATTAATTAATTTGTTAGCGCTAATTTATTTATTATTATTTTTTTAAATTAGTTCTATTTAGTTGGTAGTTTTTTCTTAAAAAAAAAAAATAATAAACACTTAAAAAGCAAAAATTAAACTATAAAAAATATTTGAAGAAAGAAAGTTTTAAAAGTGCCTTAGAGTAATAATGTTGAAAAATAATTATTTTTAGATTATGTAAATTGTTTATTTTTTTATTTTTTATTAATTCATTTTTTTAAAAAAAAGGAAAAAAAATTTATTTTTTTTAATAAAAACAAATATTTTTTATTATTTTTTCCATTTTGCTATCATTGTTATATTATTTTATATTTGTTTATTATAATTATAAAAGTTATAATTAAAACTAATTGTTTATTATTTTTCTTTCATTTCATCTTTCAAATATTAAAAATGTTATTCGCATAGACAAAACAAAAAATTTTTTTTATTTTCTATTTTGAAAAATAAAAAACAATTTCAAAAAAAAAGGAAATTTTTTCATTTTGAAAAATATTTTAACATTACAAATAATAATACAAAATATTTCAATAATACTATATCAATATCTGAATTTAAAAAAATATTAATTATAAATATAACAATATTTTAAAAAAATATATAAATACTAAAATACATATATATATATATATATATTCAATTTATTAAAAAAAAAAAAAACTGAGAGAGAGAGAGAGAATTTGACAGAGAGAAAGAATGAAAGAAAGAGGTAGAAAAGGGTAAAATGGTACAAATGAGAAAAAAAAACATCGAATATTAATTATAAAATAAAGTATGAAAATTCTTATTAACATAAAATTTATTCATTTTTTTTTCAACAAATTTTATTTTTTAATTGTTTTATTTATTTATTTTTTTTAAAGAGAAAATGTTAATATTACTTTTAAAAAAAATTGGTTTTTTTTTATAGGAAAATGTGATTAAATTAAAATTTAGCTATAAAATTTTGTTAATTGTTTACAAAACTATTAATATTATAATTTAGTTAGTTACTTCACCACAAAACTAAAAATATTATACATTATAATTTATTATTTATTGTTATTATTATTGTAAATTATTATTATTAATTTAATTATTGTAAACTAATTAAACCAATAATAATTAATTGAATAATATTTATGCAAATTCATATTTTATATAAGGGAAAATAAGAACAAAAATATATAATATAATTAATATTTATTATTTATTTTTATTAAAGCGATTTGTTTATTAAAATATTTTCAATTTTTCGAAAATTTCGAAAAGGTGAAAAATTTTTAAATAACCCAGTTCAAATTCAAACTGTTCACTAATGCCTAAGCCTAAGCCAAAACCTAAGCCTAAGTGTAAGTCCAAGTCTAAGTCAAAACCTAAGCCTAAGCTTAAGCTTAAGCCCAAAGCCTAAGCTTTTTAATAAACTATAGATAAAAGACGGAATTAAAAATGAGAAATTAATTTTTTTTATTTTCTATCAAATATAATCTAGAAAAATATGAATTTATATGCTATATGCTTAATCAGTAATATTAGAATAATTTTGCTTTATTTATTTCAATTATTTATTAAATTTAAATTTAAACTCTAAAATTTAAAATGGACTTTTGTTATTTATTAAATTAACCATTGCTATAAATGCTTAAAAATTTGGATGAAAAAGCAAAATGGAAAGAATGAAAAATGCAAAATATGTTATTAAACCTATTTTATTCTTAGTACTAATTAATTAATTAGTTAATTAATACTTATTTATTAATTCCATTTATTTAAGTATTACTTGTTGAAGTTTTTTTTTTTTTTTTTGAATATATATTTAAAATTATTTGAAATCACTATCACAGATATGCTAGTTACGGCTTTGCTTATATTCCATAATTACTTTATCAATGACCACTTTGATACCTTCGTATGTTTCTCGACCAATTGGTATAAGCTCTCGTTTATCCAAAATGAAACCAGCATTTGCTAAAAGTTAAAAATTTTATATTTAAATCAAATTCTTTCTCTTTTTTTGAATTAAATCAAAATCTAATTAGATTATTTAAGTTAAAAATTAAATTAATTTCACACTTAGAAATAATATTCATCTTTTAGCACTAGTTTTTTATCTTTAATTCAATTTTTCAATTAAAAATTTAGTTCATTTTTCAATTATTTTAATTTAAGAACAAAAAAATAAAATAAAATGGTAAACAAACATGATTTCGATGGACGTAATTCAATTGTATATGAATATTTTACATTTGCTGATTGTTTAGCCCAATCAGATGATCCACCAGAAAATGCATCTAAAAATTTATAATTTTAATTTTTCTTTTTTAATCAATTAAATTTCAATTAATTTAATAATTTCACATCATTGTTCGTTTTTTTTTTTTTTTTTTTTTTTAAAGAAAAATAATCCATTTTAAACAGTTAATTAAATCAATTAATCTCTGTCTACCTGAAAATAACTTCCTTCTTATTTCAATAAAAATTTTTCTTCCAAAAAATTTGCAAAATTTAATTTTTCAATTTATCTATTTATTTCTTTGCAAACTATTTTATACGATTAGTAATATATTATTTTCTATTTTTAATTTTTAGCTTTAAATTTTTGTAATAATCATTTTTATATTTTATAATACACTTTAATTAATTTCAATTGCTGTATTTTACACTTTTCAATTTACAATTTATGAATTATTTCAATTATTAATGATAAAACTAAATTAAAATTTTTAAATTAAAAAAAAAAAAAAGAAAAGTAAAACCTACATATAACTTCAGGTCCAGTACCATACTGATATTCTGTTCCATATAATTTCATTAATGAATTTACACCTTCTTTTGCAACTGCTTTCTATTATTATTAGCATTAATTAATTTCTATATTTAATTAAAAATTAAGTACAATCAATTAAGCAATTTTTTTATTTCTAATTTAAAATTTTAATTTAAACATTTTAATGCTTACCAATTCATCAATATCCGATGAATACGTATTTGCTGCATGTGAATATGGATAAATCCATAGTTGTGAATATGTATGTAATGTTATATATGCTTTTATCTGTTCACGTAACGGTAATAATGCATCACGTACGGCTCTACAAAATGACGGTAATATTTAGCGTCACGTGAAAAAAAAGTAAAGTATTAAAAATTTCTGATGTCAATAAAAAATTACACAAAATTTCATTTTTTTATTCCATAATTCAATGTATTTCAGTGAAATAAATAAATAAATATTGAACAAAAAAAAGGAAATAATTTTTTTTTGCAAATTTTTTTATAAATTTTATAAATTTCATCCATTTTTTTTATAAATATTATTAAATATAGTAGAAAAATAAAACAAAAGAAAGATGGAAATGCTTAGAAAAAATTTTATCATTGTGATAATTTAATCATCAATTATTGTTTACTTATTATTTTTTCAAAATACTTTAATTAAAGTCTAATAAAATTATTTCTACAAAATAATTTTTTCCTAAAAACTTTAAAATAATTTTTTTTTATTTTTTGAACTTTAAAATTGTAAAGCAAAAAAAGAAATTAAAAAGGATTAACTGTGTTTCCGGTTCGCTAAATGCATATTTGCCACGGTAAATATTAGAACATGGCGATGAACTGGAACCGATTTCTGAAAAGTATTTCCGGTAAAGTAAAAAATTTTGTTTTATAAATAATAAACAGAATTATCGATAATTCAAAATTTTTAGAAATTTAAAAAAAGAAGCAAAAAAAAAGAAAAAAAAAAAAAAAAAAAAACAGAAAAGAAATGCTAATAAGAAATGATAAAGCATAAAGAAAATTTCAAAAATTTAGGAATGATAAAATGAATTTTAAAAAATTTGAAGGAATAATAAAAGTAAGTTACTTAAAGTAAAAAATTTTTACAATTTTTTTTTTTTGTCCTTTTAATTTATTTGAATAATTTTTTTTTATTGATATTAATAATTAAATATACTTTATACTACAAACAAACAAAATTATTCTAATTTCAATAATTTTAGTCTTATTTTGTTTTTATATTTTCGTCAACAAAAATTAAATTTAATATCTTTTTTTCTTATCAGACATTTTATTAGAGATAAAATCTACTGTTTCTTATCAAAAAAAAGAAAGTGAAGTAAATTTTGTTAATACTTTAAAAGTATTTTGAAATTTAAATAATAGCAAAATTATTAAATCGATTATTTCAAATTTATTTCTAATTCAATAGCACAAATTTTTTAACACTTTTTTTTTGATTAAAAAAAAAAAAATTATCATATATTTCTAACAATTTTTGTTATTTAATTAAATGATTAAAACAACAATTGTCAATCATTTACAAAAGGATATTTCTTGCTGTTTAAAATTTAAATCTTAAATTTGTAATAATATATAAAATTTGAAATTTGCAAGAAAAAACAAAAATAAAATTTAAATCTTAAATTTGTAATAATATATAAAATTTGAAATTTGCAAGAAAAAACAAAAATAAAAATTTAAATCTTAAATTTGTAATAATATATAAAATTTGAAATTTGCAAGAAAAAACAAAAATAAAAATTTAAATCTTAAATTTGTAATAATATATAAAATTTGAAATTTGCAAGAAAAAACAAAAATAAAAATTTAAATCTTAAATTTGTAATAATATATAAAATTTGAAATTTGCAAGAAAAAACAAAAATAAAAATTTAAATCTTAAATTTGTAATAATATATAAAATTTGAAATTTGCAAGAAAAAACAAAAATAAAAATTTAAATCTTAAATTTATAATAATATATAAAATTTGAAATTTGCAAGAAAAAACAAAAATAAAATTTAAATCTTAAATTTGTAATAATATATAAAATTTGAAATTTGCAAGAAAAAAAACAAAAATAAAAATTTAAATCTTAAATTTATAATAATATATAAAATTTGAAATTTGCAAGAAAAAAAACAAAAATAAAAATATTACCACCAAAATGAAAAGCAAAATTTCGATTTAAATCAACTCCTTTGCAATAACGTTTTTCACCATTTTCCCATTCATAATTTATTGTTGATCCGCGACTTTTGCGCCATAATCGAACCTATCAAATAACAATTAAAAACTAGAATTTATTTCTTTTATTTTTTTTTTCTTTGTTTATTTTATTTTTTTTTTTTCATTCTTTACACACAAATTTAATTTTAATTTTAAACACATCCATTTATTTTATTTTTTCTGTCATCGCATGAATTCAATCAAAAATTATTGTTTTATAAATTAAAAGACAAAAAAAAAATTTCTTTGTTTTAATAAATTTCAGAAATAATTAAAATAATTAAAAATTAAAGATAAAATTTGAAAAAAAAATTTTAAATTTTAGTAAAATTATACGATATATTTATCAAAATTATCTAATTTTTGCATTAATTCCAGTTTTTTTCTTTCTTTTTTTTTTTGCTCTTTTTTTTTTTTTTTTTGTCCATTGTGATGCAATCCGGTTGATATACAATTAAACTGTATCCGGTTGACATACAATTAAACAGATTGAATTAATCAAATTGTATTGAATTTATTTTGTTGACAAGGAAAGCAAATAAAAAACAAATAAAAAATTTAATAGTAATTATTTTTTCTCATTCCGATAATTAAATATGCAAAATTTACGGATGGATCATTTGGTTTTGTTTGTGTATATTCATAGCCATCCGGATTTAAGCATGGATAGATGTAAATATCCAACAATCTCAAATATTCTCCTATTTTTGAATTTGAATTATAATCGATAATTAACTGAAAAAAAAAAAGAAATTTGCTAATGTCAAATAGATTTTGTTATAATTTTGCATTATGAAATTTAAATTTTTTTGAAATTTTAATTTTATTCTTTGATTTAAATTTATTATTCTTTGATATATGTTTTTCTTTTTTTTTTTATTTTTAAGTCATTTATTTTTCATTTTTAATTTCTTTTTTTTTGTTTTTTTCTTAATGAAATTTTTAAATTATAAAATAAAAAAAATTGTTGCTAAAATATGGTTAATATATGATCGTAATAAGAATTGTTGATAAAATAATTATTACATATAAATTTTGGTTAATTAAGAAAACCTAAAATAGAATAATAATTATTTCTTAAAAAAGCGTAATATTAATTGTTTAAACTGAAAAATTAATTAAATTAAAAAGAAAATTTTTTTAAACAAAAAAAAAAAGGATTTAATAAAAATACTTGTTGAATTAAATACAATGCTGTATGAATAGCTACCCATTCTCTGGCATGTATACCGGCATCTAACCAAATAACCGGTTTTGAGGTAACATTTTTGGTACCAAGCTTAAAAATTATATCAATTTGAAATAAAAATAATTTTATTTATTTTAATTTTATTTCATTTTAAATTTTAAAAAATTTTAACTTTTTAATTTTTTTTTTGTTTTTCTAATATTTTTTCTTTGGTTTTCGTTTATCTTATTAAACTGACTAACCATATTATTTATTAAAAAAAAAAAAAAAAAAAATTGAAAATAAAACAAACAAACAAATAAATAAATAAGTAATTAATAAATAAATAAACAAAATTGTATTTCAAAATATAACTACAAAATTTAGTAGAGTATTATTAAAATTTATTGTTTACATAACAAGTATAATAGAAAGTAATTATCATAAACATATTTAAATTTTATTAGTTAAATTAATAGTAATAATAATAACAATAATAAAATTATAATTTTGATACAAAATTAATTATTCAATTAATAATGCAATGATATTTGAAATTTAATGCCTTCAAATTAAATTATAATAAAATTATAATTTTGATACAAAATTAATTATTCAATTAATAATGCAATGATATTTGAAATTTAATACTTTCAAATTAAATTACACCTTAACACCATAAATAATTCGTTCTTCAGCTGTTGTACCAATACTTTTAACTGTCACAATATTATCATATCGTTGCTCTAAATTTTTCAACCATCGAACGATACTATCGTAGGAATTATATTTGCCAAGAAAAATATTTGAATTTCTATTATTGTCATCCCAAAATCGTCTTTCTCTATTATTATCGAATAGCAAATTTCGTTGTCGTTTCATTTCTTTTTTATTTTTTAAATATCTAAATTAATTTATTACAACAATTATTCATAGCTATTTAATTTTCTTATTTTTTAAATATCTAAATTAATTTATTACAACAATTATTCATAGCTATTTAATATTCTTTTTTTTTAAATATCTAAATTAATTTATTACAACAATTATTCATAGCTATTTAATTTTCTTTTTTTTTTTTTAATTTCTTACTTTAAAATAGAAAAAGTAAAGTTTGAATTGGTTAAAATTCAAAGAATGCAAAACGAAAAAAAAAAATTTCTTTTTATTTGCTTTCAAACTTACTTTGTTATTTATAAAATAATAAATAATATATCACTGAAAAAAAGTGTTTAATTGATGAAATTTAAAATTTTGAAGCATAGAATAACATTTAAAACCGAAATAATTACAGAAAATTTATTAAATTATAAAAAGAAAAAATAAAATTACATAACATTGAATAATATTAGATTATAATTTGAGAAAAAAAAAATTTTTTTTCAAAAAAAAAGAACAAAAATGATAGAATTGATTTTAAATAAATTCAAAAATATATTTATGAAAATTAAATGCTTAGCTTATTATTAAATTTGATAAAATTTTTTAAAACTGATAAGCTTACTGTGCAAAATCATTGATTTCAATATGATAAGAAATTGATTTTTCATTTAATAACCGATCAAATTTTTTCATAAAACCTGGATTAATCATAACATGAATAGTTTCATTAATTCTTGTTGGTGGTTTCCAAAAATCTGCCTGAAATTTTGAGCTAAAAAAAAAAAAAAATTTTCCTACTTTTATAGTTTCTTCAATTTGAATTTCAAATATTTATTTTGCAGTTGTAAACAAACATAATAGAAAAATTTTATTAAACCATTTTTTTTTTTTATAATTACAAATTATATTATTTTTAAATGTAAAATTTTTAAAAAAATTTTCTTTTCTTTTTTTTCTTAATTGCATTTGATTACTTTTTTATTTATCATTTAAAATTTTATTTTTCACATTTATCATTTACTATTGTTTGTTTATTAGATTTTATCATTTTAAAATGAAACAAACTGTCAAATGAATAAAATATAAAAAACAAAAAAGTGAAAAAAAATTTTTATACCATTTTATCATCGTTAAGATATAATGCTGACAAAAATTGAATTTGTTCAATATTAAGAGGAGTAATTCGAAGAATAGTATAATTTCTAAATAATAAATTAAATTATTTTTAAAGTAGCAAAAGAAAAAAGAAAAAAATGGGCAAATACTAAATAAAATTAAAATTTTAAAAGAAAAAAAAATTATTTTTTCAATTTTATATCATATTATATATGATCAATAATAATTGATAGATATTAAAGTATTATTTTTGATAATTTTATTTATGATAAAAATTATCAATAAATATTATCAGTTGTAGTAATATCAATTTTCATTTATAATAAACTATGAAATATGATAAATTATGATTTTAAATTATAATTATCAAATTAGTATAATTCAATGAAACCTTTCAATTCCACCTGCGACAAAAGCGCTTTTCTCTGCCGCTACTAATATAAGAAGAATTGAAGAGAGAATTATCATAACTTTATGCATAAATATGTTTATTTATTGATGTGATAACAACAGTGATAACATCAATAGTAAATAAAAATAACTGAAAAAGAAATTTTCTTTTAGAAATTAGGCATTGATATGAAAAAGTATTGCATAATTTGATAATTAACAAAAGAAAATATATAATTAAATTTTTTTTTTTTTTTGATAATTTTGTTTTTTTTCTTTGTTTTATCAAATTATGAGAAAATTATCATTAAATCACTGATAAAATCAATTTTTTCTTTAGCATAGAATGAAAAAAAATCTTAATGAAAATATTTTTTTGCTGAAAGATAAAAATGTTAAATTTAAAATTTAAAACAATTAGTATTGTCAGTTTAATTTTTATTCCTTATTTTTTCATTAGAAAAAACAAAGTTTAAAAATATATCGCAAAAGTAATTAATTTATATTAATTCAAATTAATTATAAATTAATATTCAATTACATATGTAATTATTTGCATGCGAAATTGTTAACATTTATTGATAAAATAAAAGTAAAATTTAAACTGTTCAAAAATAAGTCAATGAAATATTAGCCATAAAGGAAAAAACAATAATATATAAATATTTGAAATCAAATATAAAAATTTTATTTTATTTTTTATTTTCATTTGTTAGAAAAAAAATTTTTTGATGCAATAATTATTTTTGTTTTACATTCATAATATAATTTTTTTGCTTTAAAAATTTCGGAAAATATTTATTTCTGAAATTGTAGTGGAACAATATAATTGAAATTGGAAAAAAAAATAGCAATTATTGAAATTAACTATTAAATTTTAATCGTGTAAAAATTTTTTTGTTAAATTCATAAAATAAAATTATCAAAAAACGAATAAAAAAGATTAAATTTTACTCCTATTTAGTTGAAATTGCATATCAATAATATTAAATAACAAATTTCAATGCTTTATTTTTCCTTTTTAAATATATCAAAAATATGATTGGAAAATATTGACATTAATAAATTCAATCTTTTAATAATTTTATTAGTAATTAAATTATATAATACTTAAATGTACTCAATTAATATATCAATTATATACATATATATGAGAAAAAATATGAAAATTTTGTGAAAAAAAAAAGAAAGAAAAAAGTAAAGAAAGAGTAATGTTTGAAATGATGTAAAGTAGATAATAAATTAGAAATAAAAATGAAAAGAATTTCGTTTTTTTTTTTTCCTTTCTTTTAAATTTGTTTTTTTTTTTTCTTCTTTCTTTTTTTGTTTCTTCATTTATTGATGAAAGAAGAAAAGATTGAATTAAAATTAATTTCCTACTGCATCACTACTTTCCAGTTCTGAATGTCATTGTTTGTTTGATAATTTCCTATCAATGCAATTTATGGATTGTTATTTCTTTATCATATCATTACTTCTATATATTCATGTATATATATTTGTTATTCTTTCGTTTCATTTCATATTACAAAGTTAAAAAAAAAAAAAAAAAATGAAAACAAAAAGGAAGAAAAAAAGAAAAATTGGAAATGAATAAGTAAAAAAAAATTATTAAATAAAATTATAATTTTTATCAATTTATAATTTTATAATTCAATTTAGCTGTAAATTTATTTTATGCAAATAATTATATCAATTATTGTTATAATTATTGATACATGATAATTTTGACAGATATTTCTATTATCATTATTAATATTATTATTAATTATAATTATCAATTATTATTATTAATTATAATTCATCAGATATTTTATGAATAATGAATTTAAATGAATTAAATTAAAGAAAAATAATTGTTCTAATTGATTTTAATTGTTTTAATCATTATTAATCATTGTTTTTCTTTTTTTTTTTTATTATTATTATAGTACTTAATAAAGTTAGCAATTTCTGTTTTATCAGTACTTTAAAAATGTTTAAAACGAGTAATTATCATTAGTGAAATTTATTATTGATAAATTAATGATTAATTTGCTTGTTTAGGAATATCGTTTTTGTTGTTTTCTGCTAATTTACTTATCTCACTAATTGTTACTTTGTATTATTTGGTGATAACAATACTCAATAGTGATGCTCAATACTAATTTATTTAATTTCAAATTTAAAAAATAAGAAAATTGTAAACAAAAAAGGAGCAAAAAATAGGAAATGATAGTATATATGATAATAAGTATAAAATCATTAATTAATTAATTATATTTATTTCACCCACTGATAATAAGCAAATTTCAGTTCGGTATAATAATTAGAAATATTACTTAATATTAGAGCAATATTTTCTTTTCTAATAATTCGAATAATATAACACAATTAAAACAATGTTTTTTTTTTTCTTCTTCGATAATATAATTGCTTATATTGTTGTAATAAAGTTATTTTTTAAAAAAAAGTTAAAAAATTAAAGAAAAAAAAAATCATTTTATGAAAATTTGTCTGTTAAATAAATTCAATTAGAAAAAGTTTAAAATTTAAATAAAAAAAAAAAAAGTTTCATTTCTGCTAAGAAAATTTGTTTGTTCAATATGTATTAAAATATGAAAATATCATTTCCAATTTCTTGCATCTCTTTCATTTACAATTTTTTTGCTTTTTAAATTTTAAAATTTAAATAAATTGATAGTTTTGATGAAATAAGCGTTATTAGATTTTGCGAAGAAAAAAAAAAAATTTATGAAATGATTGAAAAATTTTTCATTACATTATGAAAGGATTTTTGAGAGAAAATTTTGTGCAAATATTTAGAAAAATTACCGAAAAAAAGAAATACTATAGTTTGAATACAAACTTAAAATATTATAAATACTTTGTTGCTTTATCGCAACTCAAAAAAAGTAAATTAACTACTTTTGAGTTGCAATATAAAACAAGAGTCTAACAATGAAAGTTTGCAACAGATAAATTTTAAAATCTTTTTCCCAGTTCGTTACGTTTACACGTACGGCAGCGTAAGTTACGTGTCTTATGCTTATCATGAATTTTCCTTTTTCCCAATGCTGTAGGTGCAATCAATTAGTACTGCCATTGTAGCGATAAGTGTGTTGTTGAAATGATCGATAAAGAGAAGTTCACGTACGTCATTTTACGAAAGTGTTTCGCCACGTCAACTAATTCTACTTCAACGGCAGGTATTTATTGCATCTGTCGTGTATGCATTGTCATATGAAGTTTAACCAGTTTGAGAAAAAATTTGATTATTTTTAGAAAAGATTTTACTTTTTATTAAGAAGTAATTATGTTTATTCCATGATAAATAATTAGTGTTCTTCATTTCTTTACTCTCATTCTTATCAGACATAATGATGGAAAATAAAGCAAAGAAATATTTCAGTTTTTTATTATTGAATGAAAATTTTTGTCTTCAAAAAGAAAAAAAAAATGAAATTCACAATAAAATCTTTTAAATGTAATGCATAAAGTAAGAGAAGTGCAATTTAATACATTTCGAAAGAGAATACTAGAAGCAGTCTTAAATCGGATAATTTTCTTATGTATGTATCTCTCTTGCTTATTTAATGCTTATTGGGTGATTTTTTTTTTAACTTTTTAACCTTAGTCTTTTTTATGTTTTTTAAGTTTTTCGTCAGTTAGTTTGAATTTGAATCGAATAAGATATCATTCTTGTATGTATTCTATTAGCTTGATTAATAATTGTTTACATGCAGGAATTTATCCGATAAATATGGAAAAACCTGTTAATGGTTTATATGCGTGCATTAGCTATTAATTCTGCAAATGACAAATTAATTGATTGTAGTCCGGAATGATATAAACTTCTATGATGGCATCCAACTGATCACATTGAGAATGGCAAACGACTAGCACACTCAATCATTTATCATCCAAAGCTTTCTTTGCGTTCCAGCAATGTTTTCTTTGGATCATCATCAGATTTTCTCTCATACACTGCACTATTTTTGAAGTTAATTATTGCCTTATTTATGCTTTTCTGGGAATTAAGTGAGTAAACAAAACATGTTATTCTGATTATTTGATCATTTAGTCAAATTTTACTTTCGGGTTATGCATTTTTTAGGTATGTGTAGAAATTTCATGTTTACTTTTTTTTTCATCTTAATTTTATAATTTGAATATGATGCGAAAACTTTGTTTAGATTACATATATTTGGGGCAATCCAAGATATGAATGTTGCACTGAGTAGAAAAGTTTTTTGGTGTTATTAGACAATGAATGATACAATGTATGGATTAATATAAGAAATGTAATTTGATGTGATATCCCTTCCTTATATGTTCGTTTTTAAATTTAGGATTGTGGTGCAGGATGAAGCCTATTGTAATATCAGGTCCATCAGGTGGAGGTAAAAGTACCATTATTACTAGAGCAATGCAAGCATATCCGAATGCGTTTGCATTTGCTGTTTCACGTAAGCAGTCTTAACCTGCTTGTTTATATATTATTTAAGCCTATAATAAACGATACAGGGTGCAAAATTTTGTAATAAAAATTTTAGTAGGCAGATTATTATTTTCTTTTCGAATTTTTTTTTTCTTGTGCTGTTATATTAACATGGAAGAAAAAGTTATTTTAGATACGACACGAAAACCACGACCTGGAGAGATTGATGGGAAAAATTATTGGTTTATAACCGAGAAAAAATTTAACGAAATGATCAAAGATAATGAATTTCTGGAGTATGCAACTTTTGGTGGCAATATCTACGGAACATCGTATGTTTCCTTTTATTGAGGAATTTTCTTCGTCATTCTTATTAAATTGTTAGCATTTCTTTTGCTGGATAGAGCACATATGATCAGATGATAGTGTTTGTGTAATCTATTATGAGATTTCAAATGGTATCATTCAAGTTGAAAAAGATAAATGTATTTTAGGAAAAAAGCATTGGAAGATATATCGAAAGCAGGGTGTATATGCATCTTAGATGTGGAGCTACAGGGTGTCCGTACTATACACAAATGTGGATTAGATGCAAAATATATTCTGATCAGAGCGCCAAGTTTGGAAATATTGGTTGCTTATATAATTCTCTTCTGTTATCATTACTTGCTGCTGTAAAGCAACACATAGTTAAAAGAGTTACTGCTTGTCTTGATATAAATAATATCAAAATTAGTTTGATATAAGGTTTCTAGACTTATAAGACGGTAATACGTTGATGTTAAATCGGAAAAGATAGTTAACTCTGCGTTTATAAACAGATTAATTTCTGCTCTGCGTTTATAAACAGAACGGATTAAAGTAATTCTCTCATCCTAATATTCAGTGATGCACTTGGTGAGATCTTGAAACGTAGGATTTACTCTCATTTCAACTCCTTGGGCTAGTAAAAATAAAATAGCGTTATCTTAATTTTTTTCTTTGATAACTTGTTGGATTTAGGCGGAAAACGGATTTTGCATAATCTTACTGCTATGGTTTACTTCAAAATTTTGATTCTCATCTTAAAAGCAGAGGATTTGATTTGACGTGGAAAACCAATTTTACACTTTTAAAAAAATTTGATGTTAGTTTTGCTTGTTCATTTCAGGAACAGCGCTTGCGTGCTCGTGAGACAGAAACCGAAGAATCGTTGAAAAAACGCATGAAACATGCAGAAGACGATTTAAATGCTGGTCCCTATAATTTTTCTCTATTTCCTTATTTCAAAATTTGTGTGTTAACTTTGTGCAGGATTCTTCTCAAATGAAAATATCAAACAATTCATTCATATAGTGACGTTTAATCTGAGTTTGATTTGATTTTAGTGGATGCCGAGCCGACTTTATTTGATTTTGTGATAGTAAACGACGATTTCGAACGAGCCTATAATGATTTTTTAACAGCAATTAAAGAGGAGTTGAGCGAATTTATGTCTCAAAGGACGAAATAAAAGAAGTGATGAAACATTATTATTACTGTTTTTGGTTAGAAAAATGATTGAATTGATCAAGTTGATCCCCTGTTTGTGTTTATTTCTTCGTTTGTTTTACATAAGTTTCACAGTCTTCAATCTGTTTATTTATTTATTATAATAACTTATTATGAAGTCGTTTAGCATATTTTTGTTTTAAATCATGTACCACATAGTAACATGGTATATTTTCCACTTTTTTTGTTTTAAGTCACATATTGTAGTGTTTCGGATAGATATGCATTATATATCGATGCTAGATAAAAATTAGTTGCTTGTATTATTCCTTTTAAAGTTAGCAGAAGTCAATAAAATTCGAAGCAGTTCTGTCCATTGTTGTGATGTTTGAAGAGATTCATACTTTTTTTTTCCTTTTGTTTGACAAGATTTGCATGTTCCAACTAATGAAGTGATATATCAGGAAATCATTTGCAGTTCTTGAGATATCAAAAATTCGGAAAAGTACTGAGCATTTTGAATAGAATATTTTTGAATATTTTGAATAATGAAGTTGAGGGAGCAGAAGGATTGTTATGGAATGAGAAGTGGTAAGAGAAGAAGTGATAAATAGAATAAATTAAAATGTTAATAAAATTTATTAACAATTTGATATGTGGAACTTGCGGCAGAATGCATATCTTATTTGTAGGGACTCTATATTGTTTACTGTTTATCAATCCTTTGACCTGATTTAGAACTTGTACAAGCATTATCCTCAAATAATATCCGGGAGGAAATTTCGGTATAAGCTCAATTAACAGTTCATCAACTTTATTTTTACTTTTCCAGATATTGCTTAGCGAATTGAGATTAGATGGGTGGTGCGGATGACGAGACTTATTTCAATTTTTAAAAGAATCAATTTGGAAATTTACTATGGCGACGAATTTTTCGCGCTTACCACCTTTACCATCATTGAAAAGCTTCCTTTATGCCTATCAATTACAAGCCAAAAAAATTCTTTCACAAAATTATTTAATGGATATGAATTTAACACGGAAGGTTCGATTGTTCTTTCATTTTGTATTATGAAGCGAAAAATGGAATTCATTAAAGAAAGAGGAATAATTAAATTTGAACTTTTTTTCGTATGAATGAGTGCCTGATTTATTATGTTTATTATTGCAGACACAAAGCGAAAAAAGAAACCTTTCTGAAGAAATAAAATCTTGAAAAATTTTTAAAATATTATTGTTCGTAATATGTATTAAGCAGTATATTAGGTTGGAAAATGCGCTTAATTTTTTAAAAAGTTGATTAGCTGATTTTCATCGATGAAAGAGTAAATCAGCATAAGAAACTGATGAGAAGGATTGATATGGTAACATTTTGTTTTTTTTGTTTTTTTTTCCCTCTCTTTCTCTTTAATTCCGTTTCTTTTATTGTTACAGATAGTAAGGCAAGCGGAAATGAAAAAAGGCGACTATGTAGTCGAGATTGGACCTGGCCCAGGATCGATCACTCGTGCTATTTTAGAAATGGATTGTCGACGACTTGATGTCATCGAAATCGACCATCGATTCGTTCCACCACTTGAAGTAAATTTTGTGATTGTATTATGTTAAATGACAATTGGTAATTAATGGAGGCTTTAGAATTGTTTGGAAGTCAAAGTGAAGTAATGAAAGTAAGCAAATGCTGGTGCAATATTCGAATATGTAGAGCTTATATGTGTAAAAAATACTTGAAAATGATTGTAAAGCTAATCAGGGAGAAATAAGAGAAAAGTTATAGATGGAAGTAGTACCTAGAACCGGAAAATTATAAGAGAAGTATATGCTTATGCTCAATTAATGTTGTACAGGTGCTAAAGGAAGCAAGCGAAGAACGTATGTTCATTCATCGAGCTGATATTTTAAAAACAAATATTGAACAAATTTGGTCTCAAGCTGGTTTGGAGCGTGTTGCTTGGGAGGAGGATAGACTTCCGACGGCGCATATTATTGGCAACCTTCCTTTCAATATTGCTTCTCCACTTATTATAAAGTTCGTTTCTAACTTTTATCTGTGAAAGCATAGAAACTACCATACGTGAAGTATGCATGAAGATTTAAGAAATTATTTATTTTACAAAATTAATTATTGAAAATGATCTTTGTTCTTCATCTATTTGTTTCATAAAATCATTCTTTTTTTTGCAGATTCCTTCGTGAAATGTTATATCGCCAAGGACCATGGTCATTTGGTCGTGTCCCATTGCTGCTAACGTTTCAGATGGAAGTAGCTGAACGTCTCTGTTCCCCAATTGATTCTCCATTTCGAGCTAGAATTTCAATCATGTCTGCATTTGTAACCGAACCAAAATTGCTTTTTCAAATACCAGGTATTAAAATTTTGTAAACAATTCTGTCAATATTCAAATTTATCAAAACCTCAGATAATCGAGAGTCTGTCTTATTTTTCTTTGCCGTTGTTTTCACTCATATATTACATCCATATTTAATATTTATACGGTGATTTAAAATAGGAAGATGCTTTGTTCCATCTCCTAAAGTTAATGTCGGTGTGGTACGTTTTGTTCCAAGACAGGACCCATTGATTAAAACATCCTTTGAGGTAAACTCTTGTTTCTTTTTTCAAATTCCAAGATTCAATTTTTCTTCCTTGTATTTTTATGCATGTTGATAAGAACAGTTTCTTGTATAATTATTACATCGAAGGTATTATTTATTGTCGTAGTGATGGCAACACTTGTTGGTGTTGTTATATGTTATATAAATATTCCAGAATATATGTTATATATATATAGTTTACTTGATATGAAGCTGAAGGCTGTGGTACTTGTGTAACATTTCAGGTAGTAGAAAAAGTTTGCCGACGTATTTTTAACTACAGGCAAAAATATGTTATCAAGGGTGTTCGAAGTCTTTATCCTAAAGAATTAGCCAAACATTTGGCCGATGATTTGTTGAAACGATGTAGAATTGATCCTACAACTACTGCAATATGTCTTGGAGTAGAGCAGTTTGCTGACATTTGCTATGTTTATGAGGAACACTGCCGAAAGTACTTTTTAAAGTCTCTTTTACAGTAATATGATACAGTGCTAACGTTGTAATACTGTCTTCTTCGCATCTTCTAATTCAACGCTGTAGTTTAATTGATCGATGAAATGTGACACGTATGTCTCGTATCTTAGTTTAACTAGCTAATAATTTCTATATTGTAGCATAATTTTTAATTCTTATCAATTTTTTAAAATTATATATATATAATTTATCTTACTTGTTTCAGATATCCTGGTGTATTTCTATATGAACATTCAAATCAAAATCGTACTCTGGAAGAACTTGCACGACTTCCAAATGCTATACCACCACCAAATCCTTTTGATAAAGAATTTCCATCAGAAGGTGTGAAATTGTCAGATGCTTTAGCATTATTTGGTGAGTAGCAATGTGAGAAAAGGAAAAAGCTATGACTAGCAAAGCGAATTACTAAAATATGCTATGATTTTGAATTCATGAATTAATTTGGTATGTGTATAAATTTATTACGAGTTATTTGTGCTATATATTATCTATGAATGTGTTATTTCTCCGGTAATGCGAATTATTATTTGTATAAATCGATAAACAGTATAACTTTTAAATCGTCTTTAAATATCATAAACTATTTTTTTTTTCTTTTTTTTTGGAGGTTTTTATGCCCATTTAAATGCAGTATTTATCATTTTTGAAGCATTTCATTTCATTTGGAGTTATCAAGGGAAGAGTCTATAAATTTGCTGAATTTAATTTGACGTTACAATGATTAACTCTCAATAGTTAATGTAATAATGTAATCGGTATTTTCTTGAATAACTTTGGAATTTCAACTATTTCTTAGGGTTTAATTAGTTGATTATTTTGTATTTAAATTGAATTGATTGTCAAACTATCCGAATTCGATTTTCGATTATTTAAGGTGTTTTGCTGTATTGCTTCATTGCTTTAAAAAGTCACAGATTGCTATGTCGACTTTGACACCAATGAAACTTAACGAGCAGGTTGCATTATTTGATTCATTACAATTAAATTATTTAGACAAACTGCTATTCTTAGCTATGCTTTTGCAATTTTTTATGTCGTATTTGTCGCCGCAATTCCAACCATTGTTTGTTTTTTGCACAAAATTTGAAGATTTTCAATCACAACTTATTTTTCTTTCGGCTTACTTCAAGTCATAATTTCTAATTTAATTAATAAGTCATTTATTTCAGATCGTTTCTATGCGAAAATCTGTTGAAAAAGCTCGTGTTTGGTTATGTCGACGATTGATCAGACAAAAGAAATTGCTTCAAAAGTCGAAAGTTGAAAAAAAAACTCGTAAAGTCGATCGAATCATCAGTGAAATTGATCGTTGCAAAGTATTTTCTATTTGTTATTTAATATAATGTTCAAAATACGATTTTTATCAAGATTTTCAGGTAGCAGTTCATACCACAGATTAATTTTACGTGATTCTTTCAGAAAGTATGTCGAGATGATGTGTCAAAGTTTGCATTAATTAATCTTAAAACACTTAATGATTTATTGAAAAAGGTTATTCCTTGTATTTATTTATCAATTTATTCAAAAAGTTTCCTGTATTTTGTTTATTTGAATGAGAACAGTCGTAACTCTCAGTTGTTCTTCTGTTAATATAGCTATCAATAAATCAATTTATGTATTATCATTAACTAAAAGACGTTAATATGCAGTAGTTGATACGAAATATACTCAATATATTCTAGGTCTATTATTTATCGAGATTGTATTAGCATTTCATCAGTAATGTTTACATTTCAATTAGCTTGTCAAGAAGTAGTTGTAAAAAGTTTGAAGGAATTTCGTATCGAATTTCATGCGTTAAACTTGTTATTTATGTTACTGATATTAACTTATAGATTGATTTTTAATTTTAGACTAAAATATCCGTTGATGAACGAGTTTTATATAAGTTAGCTTGTCAAGAAATAGTTATAAAAAGTGTGAAGGAATTTCGTATCAAATATCCAAATTGGCAACATGAAGTATCATTCCTGTTACAACGACTTGGTTTGCAATATAAATCTAAGAAAGATGCAAAAAAATATGTGCTACAACAAAATGAAACTAAAGAAATGGCCGAAACTTCCATAGGAAAAGTAAATTTATTGCTTTAATCTTTTATCATTAATTATAAAAGTCAAATTTCAGAACTTAGTACCCCTTTTTTTGAAAAAAAATTCGTTTTCATGAACGGTAGTATTATTTAAATAATTAATTACAATATGTGATAAAGTGTTTTTTAGTCATAGAATTGTTTTTTTTTAGGTTACTTTTTCTCCATAATTTGGTATTTTCATGACGATTTTATGATCAGCATATCATCACCTGTCGTATGATATATATCATTTTTAGATACCTGAGTGTTCGCAAGATTTGAAAATGATTGTTAAGAAGGAAATAAGGAAAGCTGTGAAAAAGGAAGAAAATTTTGAGAAAAAAAAGAAGAAATTGAAAGATAAGACGAAATCTGATGAATCTGAAGAGATATCTATTCCAGTGCTCAAACTACCAAAATTGGAACTTCCGAAACCAGTGATTGCAAAGGGACAGGTAAGTTGTTCAGAAAGTTGTTCTTATTTCTATTGAATTTAAAAGCATTAGAAATTAATAAAGTCAATAAAGGATTTCGTGTTGGAAGCAATATAATTGGAATGCATTTAGAATGAGTGTTAGGAGTGAAGAATCGATAAGTTGGATAGATTTAGCTGGCAAATTAGTCTTTTTTCCTATATAATTCCGGGTAATAATTACTGGATATCATCATTTTACTGATTACAAATTTCAGTTGATGTTTAAGAATACATTTCACTTCTCACATTTACATTTCATAATAATCCTTTGTTTTATTTAGGCTATCATCAAACAGTTAAGTTTAGATGGTAATCAGGATGATGATTTTGCATCAATTAGCGCATCAGATGGAAGCAAAGGTTGGGATTCATTTTTTTTATTCTATAGGTTTTGTAAACTTGTAAAAATATATGATGAACTTCAGATATTGTGCTACAAGGAAATGTAGATGACAATGTAAATGGTACGAATGATGAAGCTAGTAGGAGCACTCCGCCAGTAAAAACAAAGGATATTCGAAAACGAAAAAAAGATTTTGAGTGCGATCGAAGCGAGAAACGAGAGGATACTTTGAGACAGAATAATAATTCTGAACCTGTATCGTCTTTAAAAAGTTCGATTAAATGATTTATATGATATTATAAGTTTAAAATTTATTATATGAACGAAAATATAGATCGAATAGATTGATTTAATTATTATTTTCACACTTTAAATTTATACAGTGTTATTGTTGTTGAAGTAGAATTGAAGCTAGCATGAGAAAGGAAAGTTTATGCTTAGCGATATTGTTTGAGATCCACAAGATTTCTATTTTGATTCTCACTCTTTTCACTTTAAATTGAAAGTTTTAGAAGTTTTAGGAAAGAATACGAAACTGTTGGAAAACCAGAATTTACATCCATCATGGATTGCTAAAAAACGCGAACATGAAGCTTTAAAGAAATTAAAGGAGTCATGCAAAGCGAAGAAAATAGTCTTCGGTGATGATTGAAATATTTTTAAGAAATAACTTCATTGTATTTCCTGGGTTTGTTGCTTTTGGTAATCTATTCAAAACTTTTGATGCTATTCTCTTTGATAAACTAACATATCTCTGATGAGTGGAGCATTTATTACTAGATTAAGTAATATATATGTTAATTAGGATCATATACTATCAATAATGCTATTACCTAGGTATTTTCTCTTTGTTATATCGAAAAAAAGATTTGATAAATTTGCAGAAATTGCCCAATTTTTTTTTCTATTTTTATTGCTGCTTATTTCACATTTTATTTTTCTTTCCCAAATATTAATTCTTTGCAGTTTCTAGTTCTATTTTATTTTTTTTATCCTTTCAATAAATAGGTGAAAGTGAGTGGAAAAATTGGAAAATAAGATTTCTTTCAGTACCACTTCCTTCTGCTCTAAAGTTGATGTGTTTATAATGCTATTTGATTTCTGGAAGAATTAATTTCACACAAATAAAATGCACAGTGTTCGGGATTAAAGGAATTCCTGGGTAATTTTTCAAACAACTCAAATTAATTTTTATTAAAAACGCAGATATATCATCTGTGGATCATTATGATATAATATAAAGTTGCTTAAACAGTTTACATGCGATACCTTTTCAAATTTTCGAATGTGATATCTTTTCAAGTTGAAACATGTATTATAGTTATGGTATCTTTTGAAACTAATTAAATTATATTTTTCACTCTTTCATACCATAACGTTTTGCAAAATCCAACTGCCAGGAATAATAAGACGGATGGTAATAAAGAGGAAAAGACAAAATTTACTTTAAATTTAAAATTGGTACAATAGTTCTTTTTTTTTTTTTTCATTGCATAATTTGCATATTTTATTCTAAGTGCGATTCGGATGGTTTAGTTTTGCTGGGATCTAATCTGTTTCTATGGATTAAATTCAGAATTTTAGCTCAGTAAAGCTAAGCTAAACTTAATTGCTTAGCTATGAAACGAAATTTAATAAAGTATGCTTGCGTTTCTTTTGTGTGCAATTTATTTTTTAAAGGGAAAAAAATCAGAAACAATTTCATTTATAAAATATGCGAAAAAAAAAAGAAACGAAATCAACTCTTATCAAATTTAGTTGGATTAAATTTAATCTAATTTAAATTGCTGTCTCTGATTTATCAATTAATTAATTATTAATGTCTATGCCAATTACACAAAAACATCAATTAATGGAATATATTAGTTTAAATATTGAAAGAATTTTTCTCATTTTGATTACTGAATTATTATTTATAAAATTAATTAGCTAAGTGAAAAATTCAACAATTTTAAATTAAATTTTTCTCAGGAAAAAAAAAATCACGAATTAACGATAGAAGAAAGGAAAATGGACATATAAATTGTAGAGATTTTTACACCAACTTTTTTAATTTAATGACACTAATTTTTGAATAATTTATATTTGATTTATTTAAAAAAAATTTTTTTTTTTCATTTTTACAGTTCTTTTTTTATTTTTAAAATTGAAAATATATTGAAGGATGAAAAGTTTAGCAATAAAATTAATAGTGGCATTTATGCATATTGCAATATTATTACTCAATATTTTTATTTTTGTTAGCATCAATTGTTACCGATTTTTTTTATCTTTCCATTTGTGACATTTAATGACAATCATATGTGACATTTAATGTTGACATATTGCATAAATTATGTATATTCAAGAAAAAAGACACAACTATTAAAAATTGAGCAAATATATTATCAAATTTGATCTTTACTTTCTTCACTTTAACACCAATCATTTTCTAATTCTTCAATTTTATATTCAATTTTAAATTCGCACTGAATTAATTATATCGCGTAATTCGGATGTTCTATAAATCTTATCAATATCCTGAAATGTTTTTTTTTTCTTTTTTCTTTTATTAATTCTGAAATACTCATTAATTTTCAAAAAATATTCATAAATTAAATATTACCTGAAATCTAATATTAAAATAACATAATACATAGATAATTAGAACAAAATAAAATGAAAGTTAATAAATAATACAAAAATTGACAGGCTGATTATTCATTGTAAAAAGATTAAAATTAATTTAAAAATTAAAAATTCAATTTAATAAATGAACTCATTATCATACTATGATAGTGATAATAAAATTTAATTATTTCTAATTAAAAAAAAAAAAAAAAAAAAAAGAAAAAAGCAATAAAAGACGAACTCTTAATTCGCTAATCCAAATTTTCTTGCTTTCTTTTCGTCGTCTCTTAGCTTTCTTATCATTCTTATCAGTTATTGCTCTTTTATCACGCCCTGATGCAGCAAAGCGTGCCTCAAACTATAATGATTTATTGCTATATTTATTAAAATAATAAAGTTAATTTAAAAAATTTTTTTATTTTAGTTTTATTTTGTAAGAAATTCTATACCAATGAATATTACAGCTAAGTTACTAATCAGTAATTACAAGGATTAAAGTTGTTTTTTTAAATTAATTAAGCTGCTAATTAGTGTTGATAATTTCTCGTAAAAGTTTTTACATATAGTAATAGTAATAATAATATTAATAGTAATAATAATGATAATAATAGTAATGACAATAATAATAATAATAATAAATAGAATAGAAGAAATTTGGATAAATTATGCGATCAATTATGAATGATTAAACTTGCTTACTTGTTCAAAGCTATTTTCTTTATCATAACCAAGTAAAATATCAATATCAAATGGTTTTCGAATGTAACGATTACGTCGATGTATGCAATTCTGTCGATGTATTTTAAGCTATAATTTGAAAAAAAAAATAATAATTCATTAAAATTTATTTAATAAAAAAAAAAAATTAATTTTAAAATTTCTGTGTTTTCTTACTATTATATAATTAAATTTCAAAAATACTTTGCAAATTTAACATTTAGCATATGATTTGTTAATCAAATTATCATAAATCAAATTATAATTACAAATTATTAAATTAAAATTATAGTAATAATTTGCATATATTTCAAATGCATAATTAAACATCACCTCTTCATCATTTATTTCATTTTCATTAGCAAAATTCATCAATTCCTGTGTTTTATTTCTAGTACCATATTTTCGAATTTCTCGATTTTCAGTACTTCCTAATATCTGAAATATATTTAACAATTCTTAATTTAATTATTTATTTTAATTCTTTTTTTTTTGCATTTGAGAAGGGAAATAATAAAAATTGAAAAGATCGATTCATTTAAAAATTAATGTTCTTCATTGCATCCTAAATTACTTTAGAAATTTATTGTATTTCAACAAATGAAATTAATTTAATTCAAAAAAATTTAAATAACAAAAAAAAAAAAAATTTTTCAGTTTATATCTTATATTAACCTTTCTTTCTTTTGACATCGTAGAATCCAGTTTTGCATTTGATGTGGAATTATCACAAGCATTTGACGATGATATGATAACACAATTGTTCATTGTTGATAATTGATGCTTTGTGGTTGTTATACCTGCGGTAGCAATAATTTTTATAAATTTTAATTGATAATTACTAAAAAGCTTAATTGTAAAGTTTTATATTTGAAAAATTAAAAAAAATTTTTTTTTTTTTAGTTTTTAATGAAATAAAATAAAATTTTTGTTTAATTTTTTTTTTCAAACCATTTTCAGGTGTATTTTCTTCTGTTGTTTCAACATTTTTCTTTATCATCATCTTCATTTGTGCATCCGATGAGGAATTTTTTCCTGAAAAATTCAAATAATTAATTAATTAAATAATTTTAGCGTAATTAACTGAAGAAAGCCTTTCTTAACAAATTTTAGTAATAATAATAACAGTAATAATGATAATAGTAATAATTTGAAACTTTGATTAAAACTTTGATGACAGTAAAAACTTAGATGACAAATAACTAATTAATTAAATAATTTTAAAGTAATTAAGTGAAGAAAGCCTTTGCTAACAAATATTAGCAATAATAATAACAATAATAATAATAATGATAATAATAATAATAATAATAATAATAATAAAAATAATAATAATGATAATAATAATTTGAAACTTTGATGACAATAGTTGACACTCTGTGACAATTACTGCGTTCATTGTTAAAAATTTTTGCATTTTTTCTTCATTTACGTATTTTTTTCAACATTATTTGAGGTTATTTTATTTGCGTTAAAATAATTATAATATTTTTTCTAAAATTTTGTTAAAATTTTATCGTTTTGTTAAATTAATGGATTACTTTATTTATTATTCTCATTTTTCTATTATTTTAAAGGAAAAAAAGACAGAAGAACTGATACTTTTGCATCTTTATAGTTATACCTTATATCATTCAAACACATTTCAATTTTTTTGTTTTGATTAGCTTCTGATTAACTTTTTAATTTTGATTAATTTCTTTGACTAGTTTAAGTTTTAGCTTTTATTTTTTGATTCACAAGTTCAAGAAAAAAAAAAATTAAAATTTTTAATTTTATCGGATATTCTATTGAAAAATAAGTAAGAATTAAAATATTAAAGTAATACTTTTTAATCAATAAATTAGCAATAAAAATCAAATCAGCAATGCTAATCATTAAATTAGCTAAGTGCTTTCAAGAGTTTTCAATTGAATTAATATTCATTTTTCAACTAAATTTTACAAAAGTTTACAATTCAATATCAAATTTTCATGATTTAATGTAATTTAATAAAATAAATTGTGTAAAATTTTTTAAATTAAAAAGCTAATAAATTAAAATTTATCGCAAGCAAAATAAAAATGAAAAAAAAAAAAACAACCTGAATTTATCGTTTTACATTTTGTAGCAAAATTTGGCAGATTATTTGCCATTTCAACTTGTTGTGATGATCTTAATCGTCGTACTGTCTTTTTTGGTTCATTTACTGTTTGCGCCTGGAAAATTGCGCATTTTAATTAGTATAAAATTTTATCTTATTGCAAGATTTAAAGATTATTTAAATAAATAAATTAATTTGTTATGAATAGAATTTTCATTTTGTTCTTTTTTTTTGAATTTGAATTTGAAATAATTTACCATAATTGAATCATTTTGTATTTTTTCCATTTTTGTTTCTTTTTCACGATGCAATTTTTCTTCTTGTTTTTTCAATTCTTTTTGATGTTCAATTATTCGATTCTCTTTCCATTTTTGAAAATCATCACCTATTTTTCTAAAATTATGTCTAATTTTATCCTCTTTTTGGTAATTTAATTAATGGCAAATAGAAATTTTAAATGTAAAATTTCTATTATCTTTTTAACTTTTCAAAAATTACATAACAAATTACTGTTGTATTATTATTGTATTTTTTTGCTAAAAATCATAATTAAAATTTCAATATTATTATTATTATTAATATTATTATTATCATCTTAACAATAAATGTTTTAGAGATGATTAAATATTATAATTTCTTTTCTTTTGAATCTAAATTTTGCATTTTTCATCATAGACAAATAATTTTAAATACAAAATTTTTTTTTTTTTTTAAATAGAAGAGAAATTTAAAAATTGATATATGCTTAGAATTGAAATTCTTGAAGCAGTGATAGTAATACAAATGCAGAAAAAAAATTTGAATAATTAATTTGAAATAAATGTTATTTTTTATTGAGGAATAAAAAATTAAAATTTAAAATGTAACCCAAATGTTTGATCTGCTTCAGTTAGTAATTGCTGATGTTTATGTTCAAGAATTGCTCGTCTTGCATCATCAGCTACCATTGCAATACCTTTTTTTAATTCAGTAAATTGTGAACTTAACATTTTACTACCTGTTTTCATTTTCAAACGAATTTCTTCAATCTAAAATACGATTAAAATTATTATCAATTATATAAAAGCTAATTTAAATTTGAAATTTAATAATTTATCATTTCTGATCCTATTATATTGATAGATTTAGAATTATCAAACATAAATTACTAACAATAATTTATTTATAATTGCAATTCAAATTTAATGCAAAGTAAATTTCTAATTAGCAAATTTGAATTCAAACATTTTTTTTTTTTGCAATTACTTACTTGTTTATCAAAATTATCATTTATAATTGGTTTGATAATTGGTGCATAAATACGTTTTGGTCTTTCTTCATCTTTCTTTGCTAACATTTGTGAACGTTTATATCTAAAATTAGATTTTAATTTTTTAAAATTAAAAAAAAAAATAGAATAGAAGGGAGGACGGAAAGAAGAAAATAGTAGAAATAAAATTTTACTTTGATATTCAAAAACGTCATATTCAAATTTACTTCAATTCATTTTAGATTTAAATTACTTTAAAAATTATACTAAACTGCATTGTTTTAAAATTTTGTACTAAAATTTACAAATAAAATATAAAAATTTATGAATGAAACTAACGTATATGCATCTGATTTACTTTCTTGTGAATTGAATTTTGCACTTAATGCATTAACAATTCCAAATCTTCTAGCATTTTGTTTTGATTTTTCCTAAAAAATTAAATTTTAAAATTTTTATATTAAATTAAAATTTAAATCTTTACATTTAAAAAAAAAAACAAATTAAAATTATAAAAAATTGATTCAAATACATTTTAAAAAAATGTAATTATATTATTTTTAGTTTTAGTAAAAAACCAAAAAAAAAAAACATTTTTTTTTGAAATTAGAATAATATTTTTTTTTTTTAATGAATAAAAATTACTTTTATTACATACTTAATTTAATTCAATTTTCTCACTTTTTTTTTCACTTTTGAAATTATTTAAACAAATATAAAATGCTTTTAAGAAAACACTCCTAAACTTTTTGTTTATTTTTCTAATGTGAATTATATTTTTTTTAAAATATTATGCAAATTTATATGTAAATAAACAACCTGTTGTAATGCATTAGCTTTTATTGCATCATCTTTAGCCATATTAATAACTGATTTTCGAAGTAATGATTTATCCTCCTAAAATTTCTTTCCTTTTTTTTTTAAAAAAAATTTCAATTATTATTTTAATTTTTTTTTAAAAAAATCCATTCTGTAACAAAATTCAAAAAAAAAAAAAAAAAAAAACAGACTTCAACCATAACTTTTTCTTTTACTTACTTTTTGGCCTGAATTTGATGAAACAGTTGAGAGTGCAGATGTTGGCCTAGAAGATCCAGTACTGGCTGTTTTATTTGTACAATTTGTTGGTGTATCGGTATGTGATTTTGTTGTTGTATCATTTATTGTTAATCTTTAAGAAAAAAAAAAATTTTTTTTTTTTGAAGTTATATAATTTTAAAATAAACAAACATTTGATTTAATTCATATTTTATCTTTTTTTACTTTATTGTTTTTTATTTTTACTTTTATTTTATCTTTTTTCATTTTTCTATTTTATATTTTAAATAACTTACATTTCTTTATCAAAATGAATTTGTGTTTGTTGTATTTTTGCAGTTTCAAATTTTGGTGATAAAATGATTGCTTTCTTAGCCCAATCAGTGCATGGCTTTCGTTCAATAAATGTTCGAGCACTATCAGTAGGATAATTCTCGATTGTTGGCCAAACATATGTTGGCACTACTTCAATTTGATTAATTCCCTGTTTAGAAAAAAAAAATAAATAAATGATAAAATTATTTAAAAAAAAAAAAAAAATTAAAAAAAAAAGAAATTTAAAAGAAAAAATTTTCCTTGCATAAAAATGATAAAGTTATGATTGTATTAAAATAAAAAATAAAAAGAATTGAAAAAACAAACATTTCACACTAACTTTTTCATTTTTATTTTCCTCAACAATTATATTAATTTGTTCAGGCATTTGAATTTTCAATTCATTAATTTCAATTATTTCAATATTTTCCTCAATTGGTATCACATGTTGTGGTGTCATTTTTCGAATTGCTATTTCAGTTGCACCTTCAGCTATTTGCTCCATCGCTTCATCTTTACCAATTTTTTTGATCTAAATTTTTAAAAAATAAAACAGAGAAAAAAAAAGGAAAAAAAAAAAGGAAAAATCTATTATGCAATTTAAATTTTCATATAAAATGAAATAAAAAATGAATAAAAAAATATTTCAGTAATAAAAAATTATAATTTTGTAAACTTTTACAGTCATAATATCTAATTACATCCTTTTTTCTTTTTCGAATTATTTTTATAAATTCCATTTTTATTTATAAAAGGAATATATTTCATATTTAGCTAAAAAATAAATAAAATAAGTAAGCAAATATATGTTTGATTACTAAAGAAATTATATGCAAACGAAAATATTATTCAATGTATAAAAATACATAAAAAAGTAGAATCCTCTGCTAATATTAAAATATTTGCTTAAAAAAAAATGCTTATTTTTTAATTTAGACATTCAATTTTTTTTTTTTTAAAAATAAAAGCTTACAGAAAATTTCGATGCTTTTTCAGCATTTTGTTGCAAATCAATTTCTTGTGCATACGTTATTTCACGACGTTTTTCCGGTGGTTTATTTTGTTCCATTTCAATCTCTTTTACATTTGATAATATTTCCACTGGTACCAAAAACTAAATTTTTAAATTTTAAAAAATAATTTTTGCCTTCTTTTTCTTTTATTTTTTTGAAATTCTTTTAATTTACTATGAAATAGTAGAGATATTCTGAGCAATTGTGCTTTATCAAGCATAAAATATTATTTTTCATATAACTAAAAATTAAATATAATCGTTAAATAATTATTTCAGTTCAATTTAGCGATCGCTATTAAATCATTAGACTATTAAACAAAAAATTTGAATACTTTTTTTTTTGTTTCAAAATAATTCAGTGGATAGAAAAAAAATTTTTGTAAAAATTAGCTTTTTAAACTATCGTTTCTGATTGATTACTTCATCTTAATCTTGTATAAAAGAAATTAAATTAACATAATTAGCTCTACAAGTTCATATCATTTCTAAAAATTTTATTACTATTAAATTAGCATAATTAGCTCTACAAGTTCATATCATTTCTAAAAATTTTATAACTATCTTTAATTGTAGTAATTCCATCTTCAAAAATGAAAAAGATAAAACTTTTATAAATTTAAAGAGCAATTTACAATTACTTAATTCTATGAAATCATTTTGTAAGAAAAAAAAAGGAAAAAAAAAACAATTGGAATAGTTTAAATAAAATCTCTTTCTTATCTTTTTCTTCTTCTCTCATAATTTTTACTGATTTACCGATTGATCGAATATTTCGTCGCAGATTTCGTCAATTTCAATATTATCATCTTCTTGCATTGATGCAGATACCAGAGGTGGAATTGAAATTGATGAAATCTACAAACAAAAAAAAAAAAAAAAGAAACTTTTTAAAATAAAATTTAAAAAATTAAAGTGGAAAATTTTTTTCAACGAAACATTTTCAAATACATAAATAAAAAAATATATTAAAAAATTATGCAAAAATATTAAAAATTACAACAAAATATTAATGAAATACTTTGAATAATTTATTTAATTCTAGAAATAATGTAATATAATGAAAAATTTTGTTATTAATTTTTTAAAATATTTCTTTACTAATAATATATTTTTCAAAAATTAAAAACTACTACATTTCTTTTAAATCACTAATTGCTGTTTTTTTTCTTTTTTAAAATTATTTCAAATTTTTGCATAAATTTAAATTGTATTATCATATACTTACGCTATCAATTGCAGCAGATTCTAATGGTTCAATTGAAATATTTTCAGTTATACACAAATCTTCCGATGTATCATCATCTAGTTCCTCTTCATCATCCGTATATTCAGTAGTATCATTATCATTATCATTATCATTATCATCACTATTATCATCGTCATCAACATCATCATCATCATTTTCATCGCTTCTACATAATTCTTCTTCATACTGTAAGTTAAGTTATACTGTAATTAGAGGCTTTTTTTCACAGTTTAAGTAAAAAATGTGCTTTTTTACCTTTTTTTTGTACAACTTCATTATACATTGGCATATGCCATCACACTGAGTTAAAAATTTATTTTTCTTCCTTATTTAGGCAAAAAAAGAAATCATTTTTGTATATTTCTTCTCCATCATACTGTAAATCATACGGTAGTTCGAGCTTTTTTAAGCATTAAATTTTTAGCATCATTTTAGAGGAAAAAAAAAAAAAAACATAAAGATGAATTTTAAAATACATTAGCAGAAAATGGAATATAATTTGAACCTCCGAATCATCGTAAAATTCACTAGATGACAATGAATCGTCTTCATTTGTCTCCTTTAATGCTGCTTTTTGAACAAGTTTTAGTGTAAAACCAACATCAATATTATCTCGATACTGTATATCATCATACTGTAAGTAAGAAAATTAGAAATTACAAAAAAAAAAACTTTTTTTTTTTTAATTTCATAAATTTTGTTGCATTTTTTATTAATTGCTTACGTCATCGATAGGTGAAGAAATCGGACTGAAATAAACACCAAAACCTGACGATGTTGGACGATAATCATCATTTTCCAAATCATCTCTATTTCTTGAATGACGTTCTAAAGTTTTACCAATATATTTTCCAATGATATCAAACCATTATAAAATTAAGATTTAAATTTAATTTTTCATTTAGATAATTTAAGCCAAAGAGTTTTTTTTTTTAACTTGGATAACTGAAGTCAAACTAATAAAATTGTTATTTTATTTAAACAAAACTTTTGATTTTTAAAATTTATTTTACGAATTCAATTTTCAAACAATTTATTTCTAAATTTTTTGCAAATTTTGCTAAAATGATGTGAATCATTTCACCTTCAGAGTTAAAATCATCAATATCTTCATAATCTGATAACGATTCCACCGATTCTTCCTGTGTTGAATCCCAATCATCCGTGCCATCATAGCTAACTGATGTTGTTAGCACTGGTGCTGGTACTGCCATAATTTCCGAAACACGTCCTCGATTATCATTATTTCTGTATTAAAACAAAACACCAACTAATTAATTATTTAATTAATTAATTAAGGATGAAAAAAAAATTTAATGTTTTTTTTGTTCTTTTTCATTTTGCTTTTTATTTTTTTTTTTTTTATCCATGCAGTATTATGTTTCGAAAATTGAAAGTAAACCTAATAGAAACTAACCTTGTTGGTACTTCAACAATAAATTCTTCGTTAAAATCATTTTCATAGTATGGAATTGGTGAAATAAAACGTTTTCGACTTTCCGATAATGAAACTGGATAAAGATCACCTAGAAAAGAAGTACGATTAAAGGCATAAATTATATCATTTTTTCTAGCACAAAATAAAACATAAATAAAATTAATAATGTCAGTTTTTTAAATTCATTATTGAATATTTTACTGTCTCTTAAAAAATCTTAATTATAGTTAAAAATTTATATTTAATTAAATTTTTAATTATTACAATGTTTTTTTCTTCATGCGAAATAATTTGCTGGAAATGACAAAATTTTAATGCTTTAAATGCATTATCATATTTTTTGTTTAAGATAATTTAATAGTTTTGAATTTGTAAGACTTTTTTCACTTTTTCTTTTAAAAAGATTTCAAAAAAAAAAAAAAAATTTATATTTACTGCAAATGCAAATAAGAAATTTCAGTTAGCTCAAAATGCAATACACTTTTTTTATTTGAATAATAGCCTTAAACATTATTTTTCTAATGTTCACATTTCTAAAAAAAAAAATTCCTCTTTTTTTCTAATTTATTACTTTTTTTAATAAAAAAATTAAATTACAATTTTTTTTTTTTGTTTAAAATTATGTGATATTTTTTTAAAAAATTCGTTTTTTCTTTTAATACTCTAAGAAATTCGATTAAACTTTTTTATGCATCAGTTGAAATGATAATATTTGCTATATAATATTTAGATTTCATTTGAATGTGAAAGTATTTTAAGGTTAATTTTTTTCGATTTAATGCTTTTAGATTTGACTGAAAATTTTTTATTTTAAAGTTAATTTTTTATTTTAGTAATCGAAATTTAATTGTAAAATGTGAGCTTTTTTTGAAGCTAATTTTTCCTTCAATACTTACTTAATTGGATTGAAAGAAAACGGAAACTTTTTTTTTTGGGGGGGATCCTATTTGCTATAGCTACTCACCATTAAATTATCAAAAAAATACGATCTGTGTTGGCTGAATTCATCATTTAGGGCATTAGAAAGCAACCTCTTGGCTTTCCTTCCGTTTTGCTAGCATCCGGTTGCAATTCGATTGTTTCCGAAACGGACACATCATTTTCAATATTATCCTTTTGCGCATTCAATATTATTACATTTCCTATAAATTATTTATATTTTTTTTTTTTATTTAATTTTACAAATTATTTATTAAACAATGAAAGAATAGGTTAAATTTTATAAAATTTATTAAACAATATTTTTATTGAAATAATATATTGTTTTTTTTTTTTAATAAGTAATTATTTTTAGTAATAAATGTAAAATCTGTATTTGAAAATTTTCAAAAAGTGAAAATCTATTAAAGCTTCGTTACCATCATCACTATCGTCATTATCATCATCATCATCAGCAGCATCACTGTCATCATTATCATCATCATCATCAGCAGCATCACTGTCATCATTATCATCATCACTATCATCACCGTCGTCATCGTCATCATTATCATCATTAATATCATTGTTTTTCATGATACCAAAATTGATATTATCATCAAATGTAAATTCCGTGGTAAGATGATTTGGTGAATTTTGTGCTGATGGTTGTGTAATAAGCAATAATGGCGGCTTTCGATTAATTATATTTTGCTAAAATAAAAAGTTAATAATAAATTAAAAGTTAGTATCAAAACTATGTTTTGAATAAAAAATAGAAAATGAATAATTAAATAATAAATTTATTTGCATATACTATGAATAACAATTATAGTTGGATTAAATGGAATGATTTAATTAATTTGCCTTTTTTTTTTTCAAATTCATCTCAAAAAAATTAAACCTAGAAAGTATCAGTAATCAAAAAGATATGTAGTAAATTCTATACCAGAATAATTGATTAATTTAACGAAATTTCTAACAATTTTAGTAATTAAAATTATGAATAAAATTGAGGATAAGGTCGAACAATAGAAATTTGTCGCTGATTTATTTTTAATTTCTTAAATTTGTTATGACTAGCGTTTTTCTTTCCATTTAAATTTACGAATAGATTCATTACTTTGTTTTCGACTTCCTTTTTTTCCTCTTTTGCTTTTTCTTCTTCCTCCTTCTCCTTTTCTCTCTCTCCCCCTTCTTCCTCCTCTTCTTCTAATTGTTCGTCATCCATTTCATTTTCCGGTTCAAGAATTGTTCCGGTTTTCTTCATACTTTGAATCTAATAAAAAAAAAAAAAAAAAAAAAAAAAAAAACATATTTAATTGTTGAACTCTTTGAATGAAATTTAATTTCAAATTACTGTATTCAAATTTCAATTATTTTATATTCACTACTGATATATAAAAATTATCTCTGTATATGTAAGAAAAATCATGATTAACTGAATATAACGATAAAATCATTATCCATACGGAATCAATGTTTTACATATTTCCGTACAGAATTATTACATACTGCAAAATTGTACATTTGCGCATCAATTTGGAATTGAAATTGTTACTCGAATTGTACAATTGTTACTGATAAAATGAATAGTACTTTGATAATTAATAAAAAAGTTTGATAATTAATAAAATTTGTTTATTTTTTAAAAAAAAGAAAAAAAAAATAAATGATTACATTGTTATCAGCCATATATTGTTGATCACTAACACATTCTAATCTTTGATCATCTAAAATTAATTTTATTATTTTAAAAAAAAGCAAATATCTTTCAAGAAAATTTGAAGTGAATAAAAAAAAAATACAAATTCTGGCTAAAATTATAATACTAATTAATAAATTGCATTTAATTCTATTTGATGAAAGAAACATTTTTTTTTTGAAAAAAGAAATGAAATTATAAATTCTGATGTGATGGATGCAATATTTTGATATTTTAAATCGATTAATAATACTTTTAAATTAATAATGTAAATTAATAATAAAAAAATTGGATCATTAATTACGATTAATAATATTAATTGAAGTAAAGAAGAATTAATAAAAAAAAATTAAATTAAAAAACAAAAAATAAAAATAAAAAATTATAATTTCTAATAATTGAAATTTTTTTCTTTCAAATTTTCATTGCTAACAAATTAAATGCAACGATTTCTTTGTTTTTGTTGAATTTTAAAATGTCTAATTGAATATCAGAAGATCGTAGCAATTAAACGACTATTTAAAATTTATTTGTTTTTGTCTAAATGTCAATTTAAAAATAAATTTGATGAAGCAAAATTGTAAAATTTGAGTAATTTAATATCATTTTTATAAATATAAAAACAGATAATCAATGACGGATAAATTTTAAAACTTTTTTTAAAAAATTTAAACTTTTAAAAAAAATCAAAAAATAAAAATTCATAAATGATAATAACAAATCAAATAAATAAATTGCTGGAAAATAGACGAAGATAATTTCTAATTTCAACCCTCGATTTTGTCTAATTTTGTTTTTTCTTTTAAATAATAAAATAAATTATGTAAAAATTTTTGAAATTTCCAATAAATAAATTAAAATTCAAAGAGTTTCTTTTTAAAATATGAAAATAATAGTAGCTAAAAAAAGTTATTTATATCGAAAGATTATTTCCACTGAAATTTGTTCATAAGTTCAAATGAAAAAATTTTTGAAAAAATCTTGAATTATTTAAATTTACATATGCCAGGCAAGAGCAGAAATTTTTTTTTTTTAATGATTTAACGAGAGAAAATTTTTGATAATTTAATAACTGTAAATTGTTATGCTAAATCTCAAATTATCAAATTGGAAATATTTTTCAGAGCAGTTTTTATCAGTGATTATCATTTATTAATATCAATGATAATTTCACTGTATTTGAAATTATTTGTTTAATTTCAGTGCAAAATCTTAAGCATTTAAATGATAGAGCAAAGGAGAAAAAAACAAAGAAAAAGTTTTTTATAAAATAAAAAAAATTTTTTTTGATAACTATTTTTATTCATTTTAATTAAAAAAAAAAAAAAAAAAAAAACAAAATTCAAAACAGCAAAAAGAAATTTTTTTTGCTTTTATTTCTTATATTTACATTTTATTGTTTATGATTGAATCATTTAAATGGAAGGAATAAATTTAAAACAAAATGATAATTTCATTTTATATCATTTAATAGTCCAAATGATCATTAATTAATAAAATAATAAATTTTTGCATAAAATTTTTAAACGAAGTAATTGTGATTTAAAAAAAAAAAGCAAAACGGAAAAGTCTGAGCAATTAATCTGAATCATTTTCTATTTATTTATTCAAATCGTACCATCAAACTTTTTTAATTCACTCCTCTCTCTCTCTCTCTCTTTTATCCTCTTTCCCTATTTATTACCCTCTCTCTCTCCCTCTCATTTCATTTAAAATTTTTTTTTTTGAAAAGGTAATAATAAACAAAATAAAATTTTAAATCAATATTTTCATTACTTAAAATATTTCGCCTTTTTTTTTCGCTTCAAAATTTTTATTTTATTTTCATACCTTTTTAAGTCTTTCAATTTTTCTTTTAAACTTTCTCACACGTTTACACGTACGCATTCACGCACGCAGAAAAATACACACATAACAAATACGTATGGAAAATAAGTACGCCTACATACAGTGATTTATGCGAAAAAAAAAAAAAACAAAGTTTCAGTTTACTAAGCAAACTTAAAGCATTAAATTTTTACAGTGTCTTAATTTTAGTATTGATCAAGAAAAAAAAAAAAGAAAACCGGAATTACCGGAAAATAATTTGATCGTTGAGAAATTGTAATATGTTTTAAACGATAAAATGTTATAATAATGGTGAAAAAAAAATAATTAAATTAAATTAATTTAATTTAATTTACCTAATCCTTTAAATAATGGTAATTCCACAATTTCCGTAACATCGTTGTCACATTTCAATTCCTGAAATTGCTTTTTAGTAAAATTTACAATTATTACTAATTGTATTTGAGTTAAAATTTAAACTAATAATGAATTATGTCGATTAATTAATTAAATTAATTTGTAATCAGTTTGCCTCTGATCTTTGTATTTAATTTTGTATTCATTTTATATTTGGCACCGTTATTAAATATCGATACTTGAATCGTTTGTTTGTTTTTTTTATAAATTAATTATAATAACATTATCATGATTATTACCATTATTAATTAGCAAATAGCTGTAATAATAATAATAATAAAATGACAATAACAACAATAATAATTTATAATATTATAATTTTAATGATAACAATAACTATAAATAATAGTAGTAACAATAATATTATTAATAATAATAATAATAGTAATAGAAATACAATTTAGCAAATAATTAAATACATATTAGAAATGAAATTGACAGAGAGAAATTTACGGTTTCATTCGATTTAATGACAAAATTTTCATTATTGATTGGAACTGTTGAAATTTCTGCATCATTTTGATTAGCAATTAACGATGACGAATCTATTTGATTAGCATTTTCTACAATTATTAATTAATAATTAAATATTAAGTATTACTTTTTATATTTAAAAAAAAAAAAAAACAAATATAAGAAAGAAAAAGTAAATTTGAAAATTTTACAGCACATATAAATGAGAAAAAATAAATAAAAAAGTACAAGAAAAAAGAAATTTATTTTTTTTTTTCAAATTTAAAATTTTCTTTTCAAACTGAAATAAGAAAACAAAATTTTTTTTTTCTTCAACAATTTATTCAAACTTTGCAAAAAAAAAAGGAAAAAGAATTATTATTCAAACCTTTTAGTATTGGAATAGAATTTGAAGCATTTTCCATCGATATTATTTCATTTTCATTCGAACAAACTACTTTTTTCAATTTATTATCCTTAAATTTTCATACAAATTCAACAACAAAAGAAAAAATTGATAATAAAAATGAATCAATTTTATCGAAATTTTTAATTCAGTTTAATTTTTTTTTTTTTTTAAAAATTTTTTTTTTGAAAAAAGAAAATGTTTGTTTTTTTTTAATTCCTTCTTTTTTTTTTTGAGGAAAAGATATATTTATAAAAAAGTTAATTTTATAAATTTTTGCAATTTAATTTTTTTAAATTTTGATAAATTGAAGAATATTTCAATGAGTATACCTCTGATACGTCTTGCTCATTAAGTTTAGCAATGCCACGCAAAATATCTTTTAATTCAAAAATTTCATTAGCTGAAAATTTCTCGTCACCTTCGTCATCATTAGCAGCTCTAGCAGTTTCATTTTTATTTTCGCTATATGACGCATATTTTGTTCCATCGGAAAAAATAAAAAAAATTGAAAAATGAAATAAAAGAAATATGTGAAAGTTTTCATTTCGTTATTAATTATAAATAAGTAATAAATAAGTAAATAAATTAGAAAATATAGTATCATTTATTTATTTATTTATGCATTGATTTATTTGCTTGTTTGTTTACCTATTTATATATTTACTTATTTACTTACTTATTGATACATTTATTTATTTATTCATTTATTTGTTTACTTACTTATTTATTTATTTACTTGTTTATATATTTATTTATTTATTTGCTTACTTATTTATGTATTTATTTATAATAACAACATTGTCTTACAAAATTATTTCATTTATTTTATCACAAATGATAAAAAATATAATTGATAACAATTTTGATAATCAAAATATATTACTATTATCACAAAATTTTTGTATAAAATGAAAAGGCCAAAAAAAAATTTTAATTATTAAAAAAATTTAATTTAACTTACAAAATTTACTATCATTTATTAAATGATTATTTGATATTTCGTGATCTTTTGGATATCGATTGTAAAATTTCTCCAATCGTTGCTTGACATTATCATCTGATTGAGAATGTTCCTTCAGAAAAAAAAAAGCACAAATAAATATTTAAATTTAATTTTTAACAAAATTTTTAAAACAGTTGAATTAATAAGAAATATGAAAGAAGTAATTGTAAAATTGCATGAATTAAATTTTGAAGATACTAATTTGCTATATTTAATTTTTAAATTAATACAAAAAAAATTTTGAATGTATGAAAAGGTATAAAAATGTTAATTTTTATTTAATACAAAAATAAAGTAAATATTATATGTAGTTTTCTTTTTTTTTTTTTGTTTAATTTTTAATTTTTTATAATTTTAATTTATAATAAACTAATATTTTCAAAATTCATTTAATTTTAAAATTCTTTTTCATTTCATGTAAAAATAATAATCAAAATCATATCACTTTATCAGTGATAACAAAATTTTTTCCTATTAAAAAAATTTTTATTAAGTATTGATAAATCCATTTTAAATATTTTATATATAATATGAATAACTTATATAATTTAATAAATAAAAATTCATTCAAAAATTCTTATCTGTAATTTAAATGAAATTGTTAAAAAATTTTTAATAAATGCATTTGATGACAAATTATCACTACAATATTTTTTAAATTGATAAAATATTCATAAATTTTTTATATTAATTTTTGTTCTAATAATAGCAAATTAATTGTTTTTGTGTAAGAAAAATAAATTTTTAAATTTATAAAATAATTTTCATTTTTTTTTTTTGATTTCTAAATTTTCTTCTACTACAGTTAATGATGAATACTTTAACTTATTTCTTTAAAAAATATATAATTTTTTTATACTAATATATAATTTATAGAATTTTTATAATATATTTTATTTTAATTTTTATTTTTTAATTTTATAATTTGTAAATTATAATATATAATTTATATAATTTTTTTTAATACTAATTTTGTTACTTTACATTTACTTAATTTATACTATATGTATTACTTATACTATATTACATTTCTTATACAATTTATACTTATATTTTATTATATTTGATGATAGCCTTAACTCATTTTAAAGAAGAAAAAATATATTTATCAAAAAATTTTTTTTTAAAGTAAAAAAATGCAAAAAATAAATAAATAAATAAATAAGTGGAAAATTTAAGAAAATTATTTACTCTATCGGTAGAAAAACGTAACGTTGATTTGTATTCTCGATTTAATGCATAATTTCGCTCTCGTCCAATATAACTTGGAGTTTGCGAACGATTATTACGTGGCAACGTTCCGTACGATGATGACGCATAACCGGACGTGGAATAGTGACTTGGCGTATAACTAATAATAATAAATGAAAGAAATTAAATTAAATTAAATTAAATAATATTATATTATATTTGCAAATGAATGATTATAATAATTTAGTTTTGAATGTTTAAATTTTAATTGAATTTGCTTTGAACAATATTTAGTATTATATTTTATAATTTTTTTTTATAGTAATTATCTAACATTTAAATGAATTTAAATGTTTTAAATTAAAATGAGCAGATGTTTGTAAAAATTTTTACAATAAAGATTGAATTTGCTTGCAAAAATATTGCTAACAATGTCATTTTAATGATAATTTTGAAAAAAAAATTTATCATTATTGGTCTATTTGCAAGCAATTTTATCATTTTAACAAATCTAATTAGCATAATTTATTAATTTAATGTAATATTTTAATACAATACTTTATATATAATATTTATTATTTTTTTTAAGATAAAATTGATTAAATAATTTAATAATCGAAAAAAAATCTTAATTCTCTTTTTAATCTTTTCTTGATTCTTGAATTAATTCTTTTTTTTTTTATAAAATTATATTATTATTTATAACAAAAACATAAAATACATTTATATATTCTTCAAAAAAACAAAACAAAAAAAAGAAATTTAAATTAACAAAAATTTTGAAAAAAAAAAAAAAAAAAAGGAAAACTAACGATGTTCGTCTTTCATATACTGAATTATAATCATTATCATAACGGCGTAATGATGATGATACACCTCCGATATCATTTAATTTTGTTCCTAAAAAAGTTTAAAAAGTTATATTTAGGCACAATGAGTAGACAATTAATTATTTGAGTGTGAATAATTAATTAATTAATTAGCAAAAAAATTAGTCATAGAAGATTGAAAATAAACAAAAGTATAAGACATAAACAATTAATTATAATTAATTGAAATAATTATTTAATAAAAAAAAAAATGAAAAATTGTTTTCAATTAATTATATCTTAAAAAATTTGAAAAAGTTAAAAAGAAAAAATTGTCAATTTCATTTTCATAATTTTATTAGAGTTTGCTAATTAAATGGTTAATTAATTACAATTCTAGATTTAATTTTTTTCTTTATGAATTAATTTTAAAAATAAAAATGTAAAAATAAAATTTAAAATGATTGTAAATTCTCTGATATTATAAATAAGCTAAATTTTTCGTTACCTTTTTTTTATTTTTACTTTTTTCTTTTTTTGATTGAAATCACAAGTAATTGTTTAATTATTTTGTCAATTTTTCCCTTTCTTTTTTTCTTTTCTTCTCTTTCCCTCTCTCTCTCTCTCTTTCTCTCAAAGGTAAATTTTATTTTAAAATTGAAGAGAAATTATTTGATACCTGAACCATAACTTGTGCTCCGTTTTGGAGTAAATGTATTTGAAGTGAAATTATTATATGTTCGATGATTCATTGATGATAAACGATCAATGCTTCCATATCTATAAAATGATTATATTCAATTCAAATTAATTAATTACTTTATTTTAATTTCTTTCTTAATTATCCATTTTAAGTAATAATTTATTAATTTTCATTTTTAATTCATTTCTTGCAGTTTTTTTTTCTTTAATATAATATTTCATTTTATTCTAATTTTCTTTTTTCTTTTTTCAGAAATAAAAAAAGAAATTAATTACAGAAACTAAAAAAATATTATACTCATTTTAATTCAGTTATATTTAATTAAATAAATCAACAAAAAATTAATATTAATTTTCATTTCTTATTTGTATTTCATTTCTTTTCATTTTATTTTGTTTCGAAAAAAAAAAAAACAATAAACAATAAACAAAAATGTAGAAAAAAAGAAAATGCATACATAAATCAAATTAGTATTATTGAAATTTTCACAAAAAATTTTTTTTAATTTTTGAAATTAAAAAGTTTTTAAACTTTTTTGTTTTATTTTTTATTATACTCAATTTTATTGCTATTATTAAAATTTATCTCAAATATTCTATTTTCATTTTTCTTTTATGAAATTTTATAATTTAAAATTAGCAAAAGTTCTAAATCTTTTTTTTTTGTTTTTTTCTAAAAATATTTTAAAATGTTTTTCCGTTTGGAAAAGTTATTTAAAGTAAAAATTTTTAATTCATTTTTGTATTTCAAAGTTTATTATTGCTGCTAAAGTTAGTAAAATTTGTTAAATTTTAAAACAAATTTCGATAATGATGAAAAATAAAAATAAAAACAATAAACTTTTTTTTTTTTTGCTAAAAATATTAAATTTATTAAGTGAAGAAAATTCCATAAAATCTTAATTCGTTTTTTTCTTTTTTTTTTTTTTTCAGTTAACACATTGTAAAATTATATATATTAATTATTACTCAAAAATTTTAAATTCACTTTCTTTTTTAAATATATTTTCTCAAATTAATAATCAAAATAATAATTTTTACACGTACGTGAAACGTATAAATCCTTTTTTTTTCAGGAATAAAAAAGCGTTTTTACGATTATTTTTGTAAAAAATTAAAAAATAAAAAAATTTTTACAATTTTTTTTGAAAAAATATTGAAAAAAAAAAACGCATTTAATTATTTAACTAATATTTTAATCAATTTCTTAATTTTAAAATGATAAATAATTCATTACTGTAATCAATTAACCAACAAAAAAAAAAAAAAAGAAAATGATTAAAACAAGTGATAACGTATGAAAATGGAATGATCAAAATATTGTTGATAATTAATTTAATTAATTAATAACATTTTTCGTAATTATCAAATATATTTTTTCTAATTTTTAATCAAACAAAGAAAATAAATAATCAAAATAAATAAATAAATAACCTATTCGATAATCCAATATTACTTTTCGGATGTGTTACATCTTGATGATAACTGGATGATAATGATGAGTACTGTTGACGATAAGAATTCATCGTGGAAAATTTTCGAGAATATGATAGGGATGATAATGCTGATAATGATGATAACGATGATGATGTTCGCTGTAAGCGATATGATTCGGCGCTATTGGAACGTTTATGATAGCGCCCGGATAATTTAGGATAATTTGGTGGTATATGCTGAAATATACAGATTTAAAAAAAAAAAAAAAAAATCACTTTTGAAATTTAATTATTATTATATATATGTAAATTTTATTATTTTAGTTCGTATTATTAGAAATATTTTAAATTTGCAATTAATTACTCATAAAATTTTATAATTTTTTAAGTTATAATACACCTTTTTTTTTAAATTAAATAATGCAATGACATTTTAAATAAGTAAGCAATTTAAAAAAGTAATATTTTTAGTATTTGAATAATTAGAAGATAATTACTTAATGATAAAAAATGATTGAAAATTTCGATTTGAAAAAATTGATTTCATTTAATTTAATCTAATTTATTTTATCATTTGCGGTAATTTTTCACAGTTAAATTGCTAAAAAATTTTTTGATTTATACAATTTAGAAATTTTGAAAATTGATTTTTTTAAAAATATTTACTAATCACTGAATTAAACTAAAAAATAATTTTTTTTTAAAAAAAAAGAAAAAGAAAAGCCAATTAATGCATTAAATATTTCAATAACACAAAATTAAATTTTAAAGTTTAGAATTTTATCATTTTTATAAAAATTTTCTATTTAAGCACAAATAAAAATTAACATAAATTAATAAAAAAAAGAATTTTTTTTTAATTTGAAATTTTATTTATTTCATAAAAATTTCCATTTAATTAAGCAATAAAATTATTCAAAACTGATAAAGAAACAACGAAAATTTTTGCAAAATTTATTTTTTTTTCGAAATAAAACAAAATCTAAAAACTAAATTAACAAAACTGATAACAAATATATTATCATTTTGATTAGCTATAACAACTGATAAACGATCTAAATGCTAATTTATACATGAAATGATTTGTAAAATAAGCGAAACTATCTGATATTATTATCACTTTTATAACAACGAGCAAAATGATGCTAAGCTGATATCACTGATAAGACTGTCTTGTTTTTATTTACATTTTACATTTCATTTCATCTGATTAATGATAACAACTGATTCGTACAATGTTAAATTGAAATAGAAGAAATGTTAATAGTGATAATGATAATAGTTATAACAATGCAAATTTCGCATTCACATTAATATTATTAATATTACTATTATTATCAGTGCTATTATCACTATCATTTTTGCTATATAAATTATTGATTATTGATATGATTAGTTTGATAAAAAAGAATGATTAAAATTTGTAATAACGAAGTAATATGAAGCAGTTAAAATTTCTTCACGAATGATTTAAATGATTGAACTAACTGCTAACCAACTGTTTGCTCATTTCAAATTTAAACCGAATAAACTAAGCAACAGCTGACTATCATTATTATCATTATCATTGTTATCATTATCATTATCATTATCATTATCATTAAATATAAAAGAAATAAATAGATAAAATAGTGATAGCAATTTTTTTTTTTGAAAAAAAGAAAAGAAATAATGAAAATGATAGAATTGCAAAAGATTTATTAAAAAAAGAAATAACTTTCGTTATTTTTTTTGCAAAATAAATTAATATTTCATTAATAATATTAATTTTAATATTTAATAATTATAATATTTTGTTATTATAATGTTTGATATTAAAATTTTACATCGAGTTTAAAATTTAGAATATTTTCTTGCAAATATTTTAATGGAATTGATAATGACTAGATAATATATTTTATATAATTTAAATTTTAAAATAAATTAATTTTGAAAATTTTTGCATATTTTTATGACACATTTGCAGTTTAATTTTTTTTTCTTTTTTGATATAATTATATTTGCAATAAATAAATTTTTTGTGGAAAAAATAATAGTAAAAATTCACAAATATTAAATAAATTTTTCTTTTTTTTTTTGAAAAAAAAAAATAGTAGTAAAAAAAAAAGTAAAAAATAAAATGAAATAAATAACAAAACATTGAAAGGAAGCAGTTAATGCATCCTTCCTTCACACAATCATTTTTCATACTTTTCATTTTTACTAAATTTAAAATTCAATTTACGAAATTTAAAAAAAAAAAAAACAGATATACTTAATAGTTATTTTATCATATAAATATGATATAAATATGATAAAATAAGGTGAATAATACATCATTGACAGTAAAAAGTATTATTTTTTTAATTAGTAAGGAATTGATAAAAAAATGAGAATGTAAAAATTATTAAACAAAAAATATTGTTTATATAATTAGTAAACAATTTATAAAAAAATGAGAATGTAAAAAATAGTAAACAAAAAATGTTGTTTATTTAATTGGTTAACAATTTATAAAAAGATGAAAATGTAAAAAAAGTAAACAAAAAAAAAAAAAAAAAAATTCTTTATGATAAATAATATTATTTTTTTTCTTTTCTTTTCAATTTTTTATTTTTAATTTTCTTGTTTTTTCAATTAGTTTCTTTAATTTAAAAAAAAATTTGCATCATTTTTTTTTTTTTCATTCTATCAACCAATTTTGTTTGCAAATCTTTCAGTTTGATTTTATCGAATTTGGTTTTATCGTTTCCTTTTTCTATATTGGTGAAAATAAAATTTTTAAATTTTCATTTTCTTATCGTGAAATTTAAATTTTTTCAATTTTTCATTTTTTGTATTTTCGTTCAAAATATTTTCGAATATTTTTTTGTTTTTCGTTAATTTTTCAAGACGAGCTTATTTTTGCTATAAATTCTTTTTAAGTTTAAAAAAACTTTTCAAAAAAAAAAAAAAAAAAAAATACATTTTGTATTATTTTTAATTGAAAATTTTTATTTAAATTAAATTTGCTTCTTTCAAGGAAAAATAAGCAATGCAAATTTTTCATTTTAAATTATTTATTTTTTTTTTTTTAATTTGCATATATCAACAAATATGATTTTTTCTTTTCTTTTTTTGTCAAAGTTTCATCTAAAATTCTTTTATTTGATTTTTGTTGAAAATTTTGAAAAATTGAAATAATTGGAAATTTTCATTTTTTTTTTTTAAAATGCGAAAAAATTTTTTAATATTTATTAACTTCTGCTAAATGTTATCATTTTTTTAAATATATTTTATTTTATATTTTTAACTTTTACTAGTATTAATGTTTCTGATTTAAAAAATTATTATATAATTCATGGAAATTTATGCAAATTTCAAAAAACTAACTAAAATTTTAAAAAATTTTCAGATCCAAAAAAAAAAAAATTTCGTTTTTTTTTTATAAATCAGTAATTACATGTATATAAATTTAAAAAAATGTATTAAAAATACAATTTGTTAATAATAAAAAGAATGTATTTAAAAAATTTATTCTAAAAATAAATTAAAAAATATAATTTTTAATAGAATTTCGATTTTGTGTTTGTTTCTTGAATTATTGTTTTCTTTTTTTCGTTTTATATTTTATGTTTATTAATTATAAATATGCAATTAATGCTAATAAAAATAAATATAAGAAAATAAAATAATTAAAGTTATAAAAATAAAAACTTATTAAAAAATTATTTTACAAATTCAATTTTTAGTTTCAATTTCAAATGTGTAATTAAATATTATTTATCTAAAACCAATGTAATATGAGCTAGAAAAGAAATAATATTATTAATAATAACAAAATATGTAATGCAATACTGAAATATGTAATATAACGACATCGTAATATTCAATACTAATTTTTATTTTAATAAAATATTTGAAATAAATTAAACAAAAGTTAATGAAATTTCATTTCAAAAGATTTTGCAGTAATTATTAATGGTAAATAAATATTTTCAATTTCCATTTTTTGTTTTTTGTTTTCTTGCAAAAATTGTAATAAATGCTTATCTAACATACAATATCAACTAATAGTAGTAATTTTAAACTTAATTAAATAATGAAATACCTAAAAATCATAATTGTCCAATAATTAATATCACTTAGCAGTTTATCATTTCATATTGGAAATGTTTGAGAAACAAAAAATATGTGCTGATTGATAAAATATATTCAAATATGAAGAAAAAATAAAAAAATATATGTATATATATTAGATTTAACTTCAGAAAAAGCATTAATTATTGAAATTAAGTACTCAAGTACAAACCGTATTTGGAATTAAGTATTCAACTACTACCTGTATTGAAATTAAGTATTCAAGTAAAAACCGTATTGAAATTAAGTATTCAAGTACAAACCGTATTTGGAATTAAGTATTCAAGTACAACCTGTATTTGGGATTAAGTATCCAAGTACAAACCGTATTTGGAATTAAGCATTCAAGTACAACCTGTATTGAAATTAAGTATTCAAGTACAAACCGTATTTGGGATTAAATATCCAAGTACAAACCGTATTTGGGATTAAGTATTCAAGTACAACCTGTATTGAAATTAAGTATTCAAGTACAAACCGTATTTGGGATTAAATATCCAAGTACAAACCGTATTTGGGATTAAATATTCAAGTACAACCTGTATTTGGGATTAAGTATCCAAGTACAAACCGTATTTGGAATTAAGTATTCAAGTACAACCTGTTTTGAAATAAGTATTCAAGTAAAAACCATATTGAAATTAAGTATTCAAGTACAAACCGTATTTGGAATTAAGTATTCAAGTGAAAACCGTATTGAAATTAAGTATTCAAGTACAAACCGTATATTGATTCAAATAAGTTGACATTTTTGTTGTTCGCTCAATCGAATTGCCTTCTTTTCTTTTCTTTTTTTTTGTATTATTAAAATAAGTAAATGAATAAATCAATCGATTAATCGATTAATCGTAATGTATCCAAACGAATGAATGAAGTGCTAAAACTATAATTAAATTATCCGAAATGATTTACAAATGAAATAAACATTTTACTGCATTAATTAATAACATGTGAAAACGAATTAAATTAAATAAAATTTATTTTAAAAAGAAATAAAAAATTTTAATCCTTTCATTGTTTGTTTTTTTTTTCATCTAATTTCTGAAATGAATTTTTGACTGTACAAAAATTAATAATTTTTTTAATATATTTTATATTTTTTAAAATACATTTTTAATTTAAAATATTTGTTATCTGAAATTTTTTTAAATTTAAAAATATTGTTGAAGATTAAAATAACTAAAAAGTTATTTTCTTTGTTTTTTATTTTTCTTTGCTTCAATCATTTCAAATTTTTTTTTTCTAGTTTTATAAATTATTATAATATTATTCAGATAAACTAATTTTTTTTTCAATTGCATATTAATTATTTTATTAATTTATTATACTTTTTTAAACCGATTAATTAATTAATTGTATGAATGAATATTTATTTCTTTTGCTTATTTAAAATCTAATACTTTTGCGAAAGAAATTTTTGAGTTTTTATAAATTAATATAATAAATATTATTAAATATAATAAATATTAGTTAATTGACTAAAAAAGTTTTTCATGTCTTTCTTTAATTCAATTTTTAATTCATTTGAATTAAAAATATGCTTACTTTTTGGTATAACAGCAAATGTTATCTGATAAATATAATTTAACTTAATTAAAATTATCAATTTATGCTTCCATTATTAGCATTTCAGAAAGAAATTATCAAACCAAATAATCATAAAATGCATTGCAAAATTTTCTTTTTATAATTTTACAAAAGTTGTATAAACTGTAAAAATTAATAAAAACAACAAAAGAAAAGAACAAAAATGATAACTTTGATAGTAAATATTATTAAATATTTTATTAAAAATTAAGTATAAAACAAAATGATAATTTACGTGAAACATTAAACGCCAAACGTTTTAATTAAACGTCAAACGTATAATGCATTTAAAAAATAAAACAAAAAGAGGGGAAAAAAGCATTGAATCATCAGTCAGTAATCATATATTTATTTCCAATATTCTCAAAAGTTTAAAAAAAAAAAAATGGCAAAAAAATTTTAGATAAATATTAAAAATGAAATTTGATAAAAAAAAATGAAAGATAAAATAAAATGGAACGTATAAATTTGCTATAAATATTTCAATTTAATAATTAATTATGTATGATAAATAATTAAATAGTTTATTGGTAGAAATAATTAATTACTAATAAACAAAATAGTAAACAAAAAAAAAAATACAAAATATTGATGACAAAATAATAGTAAAATAAAAAATAAAAAACATATAAACACACATACACGTAAATTTCAATTAATATAAGTGTACGGACGTGTATGAGTATGTGTACGTGGATTTACGTATGTATGTAAGTGTATACATTTACAGTATGTATGTGCGTACGTGTATGTTAAAAAAGCATTATTATTAAAGAAATTACGGCGGAAAAAAAAGGAAATTAAAAGCTCAGATGACGAATTCAACCAAATGACACATACGTGTATGTATGTGCGTATATATAAATAAGCGTGTATGTATATGCATGTATGTATGTATGCATGTATGTATGTATGTATGTATGTATGCATGTATGTATGTATGTATGTGTAGTCACATATGTTTCTATTTGAAAAACAAAGCTAAAATGTGAGAAATGATAAATTTGATGGGAAATATGAGGAATTCGACGAATTGGAAAAGAGAAAATGAAATTGGTAGAAACTTTCTGTTTGCAAACAATTTTTGATGAATGAATTTCAATCAGTCATAAAGTAAAGTAAAGAAAAGTTAATATCATCTATTACACATATTGCTTAAGTAATATTAAGTAAAAATATAATTTCAAATAAAAAAAAATAAATAAATAAACTTTAAAAAATTGGAATTTAAGAAATGGGAAAAAAAAAAAGAAATCGATTAATCGATTAAATTAATGCATAAGTGAAAAAGAGAAATGATAATATTTTGTTTCTTTTTTCTTTTTTTTTTTTCCTTTTCGTTTTTTTTTTTTTAACAAATGCTGAAATTTTCATTTTTTTTTTCTTGTGGAAAATCATATTTTATTTTTTGTTTTCTTATTTAATTTATCATTGTGATAAAATTTGTTATCAAAAAAATTTATCACTTCATTTTTTATTGTGCATGATTATGTAATCAATAATAAATTTAATTTTAATGATTGAAAATTTAATTTTAATTAATAAAGCTGAAATTTGTATCAAGTTTAGCAGAAGTTTGAAACAAATAATGAGAGAGAGAAAAAAGAATAAAACTAAAAGCTAACCATATCATTAATCATTAAAAAAATTAATATAATAATTATTCGTAATGTTATTCAAGTATTAATTAAATTTTTATCAATTATTATCATTTTGTGAATTAAAATATAATAATTATTGAAATGATTGAAAATAAAATATATTCTATGTTAATTAATTTATAATAATTATTTCATTTTGTATTAAATATGAAATTGTTTCATTGTGAAACAAAAAAAAGTTTAATAATAAAATGCAAAAAAACAGAAAAAAAAAAAAAACGGAAAGAATTTCATTGTGAAAAAGAAAATAAAAAAAAAAATTCAACAATTGAAGTTTTTCATTAATCTTTTCAATAGATATTGTTGTAATATTTTTCGTTTTTCTCAGTTTACAATAAATCATTTAACATTGAAACAAAAAAAAGAAAAAAAATTCGTGCAAAGTTGGAAAATTTTTAAAGAAAATTTTGTTTAATTTTTAAAATTTTTAAACAAAAATGCATCTTTCATTAAGTGAGACAAATTATTTTGATATTATTTAAACAATTTCAAATGTAATTTATCATTACTTTATCATATTATTATATATTAATTTATCATATCTTATATATTTTCAACAAAAAAAAAAAAAAAATAAATAAGTTTTGAGTTAATTTAATATTTAATTAACTGTTTAAGTCAATTTAATTTGTAATTTATGTCATTTTTTTAAATAATAGTTTGTAATTTTTATTTAAATGAATTTAATTTAAATTTATGTATATTACATACATACAAAAACTCAACATACACACATACACATGCATAAATTTAATATATTACAAACAAAATAATAATATATTTTGTATATACGTGTCATCACACGTACCTGTCAGCAAATATTTACCCACTATATCCACGCGGATACGTCGAATCACACGCATATATCCACGCACATAAGCGTACGCACGGTTTTATCGTCCTCTCCCACACGTAGCATTCTATGCGTATGTTCATGCCACTCTACATTCGTCCACGCACGCCTATCTTCTCGCCTCCACCCACACACACCTGCTCACGTATATTTGATACACACACGCACGCACACACACACACGCACACACACATACACACACGTACCTATGTATGTGCACATTAAATTAGTGATAAGATACAGTCATTATTGTTTACAGTAATACAGAAACAATAAGCGAAATATGCTAATTGAGCTAAATGCATTGATTGCTAAACTTTTAAGTAAATAATTTTAAATTAAATTTATTTACAAGAATTACTGTAAAATGAAATAAAAAAATCTATTTGAAATTTTAAAATGAATGCAAGGAAAACGAATAAAATTGGCGCATTGCTTAGCTTAGCTTAGCTTAGCATTTCAAATGATGAAATCATTTTAAACATTTTTTTAAAAACAATTGATCGTTGACCGAAACAAAGAAACTAAAAATTGAAAAAATTACAAAAAAAAAAAAAATTTAAATTGTTTTCTCATATGCAACATAATAATTCTTTTCTCTTCATTTTTTTTTTCTCTCTCTCTCTCTCTTTCTTTCTCTTTTCATTTATTTAATTATTTCAAAATTCCAACAATGAATTAATAATTTGTTAAAAATTAAACTTTTCCATTAAATATTAAAATTTTAAAATTTGCTATTAAAAATATGAAGATTAGGAAGGAAAATGTTAACATTATTAAGATTTATGTTTTTAAAAATTATACTTTTTTTTGATATTTTATTATCAAAATAGAGAAATTAATATTTTTCATCATTTTTTTTTTAAAAAAAATTAATTTATTAATTGATGATTAAAGTGAAACATATATATTTGATATTAATATTTATTGTAAAATTATAGTTTAAATGAAGTGTTAAATTTGGCTCAAGGAAAAAGATATGGAAAAAATTGTGATAAAAGATAAATGGAATAGTTTCCAATTTTTACGGTTCATTTATTTGTGGGTAAATTTATGGGAAAAAAAAGACAAATAAAAATGAAAGTGTTTTAAGGGAAAAGATTGAACGTAAATGGCTTTCTATAAAATTTATTTTCCTAAATGGTTTATTTATAAATTTACTTTTAAAAGCAAAAAAAAAAAAGTAATAAGTAAATATTAACTTGTAAAATGCATTTATTATACAAAAAAAAAAAAAAAAAAAACAAATAAATTTCTTTGTAAATTGAAAAAATTAATATGTTTACTAATAAATTTATTAAAAATTGTTATTATTGCAATATAATTTTACTTTTTTTTTTCTCAGGAATTTATAATATGCAAATCTAATTGGCCAATTTCAACAAAAAAAAAAGTAATAATAAAATGCATTTAATTGTTATTATAATATTATTTCAATCATAATTATTTTGCAAAATTTTCTTTTTCTTGAAAAAAATTGAAAAAAAAAATATAAAAATTATATTAGAATATATTGTTACTTTTTTTTTTTAAATTGTGCAAACTAAAATTTTAAAAAAGTCAAAATCAATGAATTATTTCATGATAATTTAAATAAAATTTGTGATGTTAATTTAGAAGCAGATTTGATATTTCCAAATGCAAATTTAAATATAAATTTAAATTTCATCCATCATTCGTATAATATTAAATTATAATATATTGTAATATAAATACAATAATAATAGAAAGAAGAACTGATGTGACGAAATTTTTTTATGAAAAATAATTTTTTTTCTCAAAATTCTGAAGCAAAATAACTATTATATTACCATTGCTTTATTATTATTATTACTATTATTATTATTATTGTTGTTGTTACCATTATTATTATTATTGCTTTTGTTATTATTATTATTATTATTATTATCATTATTATTATTATTATTATTATTGTTATTATTATTGTTACCATTATTATTATTATTATTAAATTATTATTATTATTATTATTATTATTATTATTGTGATGCATTATTGCTACCATTATTCTATTGCTATCATTTTATTACCGTTATTATTATTATTATCATTATTATATACCATTAATGCTATTATCATCATTATTAGCAGTAATAATAGTAGCACTGGCAGTATTGCATTTATTGTTAAACGATTTTTGAAAAATGTTGGCTAATGGATGAAGGAAAAAGAAAAATTTTTTTTTTTTTTAATTCTAATGTTAAATTTTAATTTAAAACTTAATTTCGTTTTTTTTTTTTTTAAATTTTTATCAGTGTTGTAATTTTTAAATTTCTTTCATATTATATTGTTCTTTCTTTTTAATTTTCTATTACATACATGCTGAAATGATAGATGGAAATCTTCAAATTTGATTATAAAATTCCATTTGAAATTATTATCACAAAAAAATTCATAAATTTTATCACTTCTTTTTAAACTTAAATTTATATAATTAAAAATGAAATTAGTGAATAATAAAATGCATTCTTGATAAATAATATATTTTTCAATATGCTTTTTAGTTTTCTTTTTTTTTTTCCTATTTTTTTTTTTTTTTTTAAACTAACTTAAATAAATGCTAAAGTATGCATAAAAATTGAATGCAATATTACCGGAAATGTTCGTTGGCTAAAAAACGGAATAGAAAATTGTCGTTTTCCTTTCAATATTTTTGCTTATTATTATAGCATTTATATTAAAGTATGAATATATTTTCATAATATTTCATTCATTTTATTATAAAATAAGCTCAAAAATGCCAAAATATAATTTTAAATAATTTTCTAAAAAAAAAAAAATTTCATCCAACTTTTTTTTTTAATTTTTCATTTTTACTATCACTTTTAGTTGTCTTTTTTTTAAACAATATTTTCATTTACATGACATATGATAAAAAGAATTTATGCAAAAATCAACTGATATGATAAATATTTAGTTGAGTTTATCATATTTAATTATGATCGTTTATTATTTTATGATTGCCAAAGTTATCACTGTTATCACTAAATGTCAAATTAACTATTAATTATCATTTTGTTGTTGTTATAGAAATGATAGTAATAATAGTTATTATTATTATTGTCTTATTATTTCATCGTTATCAAATTTATTATCATTTACGCTTTGTTTTTTATTTTTATCAACATGATTATAATCATTTAATATCATTATCACTATGCAATAATCATATTTAGATTGATTTTATCTTTTTAAGCAATATTTTATAATTTTTTTCTTTTTTGCAATTTTAAAATTTGTGTTTTAGTTTGAATTACCTGCAGTTCAATTTTTGTGAATTTTTGTTTAATTCAAATTTTTACGAATAAATGAAATGGGACGATTTGGTGTAAGTTTAATTTTAATTGTTAATAAAATTTTCTTTTCTTTTCTTTTCATTCCCATTTTACTTTTCGATGTTTAATTAATTATATAAACATTCTCTAATTAATTAAGAAAAGATATTTTCTTGTCAGATATTTTCAAATTAAAAATTTCATTTATAATTATAATATTTTCAAATTTTTTAGTATTTCATGTTATATGAAAATAATATCTGAAATTAAATATCTAAAGAAGGAATAAATAAAAGAAAAGAGAAGCTAATTAATTGACTAATAAACTTAATATACTAATAAATTCTAATTATTGTTAATCATAATCAGAAATAAAAATAATAAATTAAAACAGTTTTATGTTTCAATAGAAATATTATTTTATTTTATATTAGATTAATTTTTCTTAATATTACAAAAAAAAAAAAATTAGACACAAAAATTAACGATTATTAGATAAAAATTGAAATATTAGATTAATTTTAATATTTGATATTATTAGATTAGTGAATTAATAAATTGAAAACTTGTTAAAATATAATACATTAATTTTTATTAGTTATATGTTATAATAAAAAAATTATTATTTTGTCATATGATTTATTTTTTTAATATTAGATTAATTTAAATTTAGATCAAAATTTAAATAATAATTTTTCTATTAGATAATATTAGAATTTATAAAACTAAAAAAAAATAACTTATCAAAATAATGCATGTGATGATAAATTTTTTTTTTTTAAAAAAAAAGTTTTATCTTATCTATAAATGATAATTTTGCTAATTGGTTAATTAATTATAATTAATTTTAGCGTGAAGTAATATCAGTACACGTTGGACAAGCAGGTGTACAAATTGGAAATGCTTGTTGGGAATTATATTGCTTAGAACATGGTATCCAACCAAATGGTATGATGGCAGGTGATCAAGCAATTGATCACGAGGATATTTCATATAATACTTTTTTTGCTGAAACTATTTATGGTACTAATTTTTTTTTTTGTGAGTAATAATTATTTAAGAAATATTTTTTTAATTATTGATTAATACAAATATGGAATAAAAAGAAAAAATGAATTATTGAACTGATAAACAACAAAAAAAAAAAAAAAAATTATTAAATGATAATTTGATAAAGAAAAATTTAATATTTTCAGCATTTTAAAGTTTAATTATTTAATATATGATAGTATTAAATTGACAATTTTTTATGTATCTATTAATTTATGATATGATAGTATTCAGTTAAGAATTAATTTTGTTTTATAAATTTAACCACAATATATGATTAACCATAATTTATTAAAATAAATGTTTAATCAATTTAAATATTATTTAAAAATTCCCATTTTTTTTTTGTAATTAATCATTTTTTAATATAAGAGTTGCTAAAAAAAAAGAGAGAAAAAAGAATTCAAATTTTATAAGCAAAATTTTTTGAATAGTATTATTTTAAGTTAAATATGAAAAAAAAAGAAAAATTTAATTTTTTTTTTTAGGTAAACATGTTCCACGAACAATTTTTATTGACTTAGAACCAACTGTTGTAGGTAAATTTTTAAATTTATAATTTAATACTTTTATTTGTTTTTTTTTTAAAAAAAATTTTTGCTTTTAATAAAGACTTTTTCAATTTTTTTAAAATTGGAAATGATATATTTCAAGAAATGGTAAAAAAACAAATTTCTTGTTGTTCAATAAAAATAAAAAAAAAAATAGAAAAAGGAATTTAATTATTAGATGAAATACGAACCGGAACTTACCGATCGTTATTTCATCCGGAACAACTTATATCCGGAAAGGAAGATGCAGCAAATAATTACGCCCGCGGTCATTATACTATTGGAAAAGAAATTATTGATGTTTGCATTGATCGTATAAGACGTAAGTAAATATTTTATTAAAAAAATATTCATTTAATTTCATTAATTAAAAAAACAAAAAATGATTGAAAAGCATAAAACATAGACTTATTGATTTTTTGCCTTCAAATTTTAAGTCTGATTTAAAAAAAAAATTGCTAAAAGATTGAAATTAAAGAAGAAATGCTCATCGATTTTCTTTTTTTTAAAGTTTTTTTTTATTAAATAAACACTGCCAAAGTTTTCATTTTTTTTTTTTTTTTTTTTTTGGAAAAAAGTAATGTAAATAAAAATATTAACCGTAAAGTAAAATTTAAAATTATAGTACTATGTACTATGAAGTTCTTTCTTTTTTTTTTTTTCAGTTTTTAAAAAACGACAGAAAAAAAAAAATTTAAAAATTCATTTAGGTATGAGCGATATGTGCAATGGTTTACAAGGATTTTTAATTTTTCATTCATTTGGTGGTGGTACTGGAAGTGGTTTTACAGCATTACTTATGGAACGTTTATCAGTTGATTATGGCAAAAAATCAAAACTTGAATTTAGCATTTATCCTGGTTTATATTTCATTTAATTAATAAGAAAAATAAACAATAAAATGGAATGAAAAATAAAATTAAAATATTTCAATATATTTAATTAAGCGAAAAATTTTTTAATTTAATAACATTTAATATTTATTATCCTTATTATCATTATTATTATTGTTTACTATTATTTGTTTATTATTTTTAATAACTTTATTAAAAATTGCTATTACTACTTTTATAAATAAAATTATTATTATTATTAAAGCTCCAAGGATTAGCACAGCAGTTGTTGAGCCATATAATTCCGTTTTAACAACTCATACAACCTTAGAACATTCCGATTGCTCATTTATGGTTGATAATGAAGCAATTTATGAAATTTGCCGAAAAAATCTTTCTATAACAAGGTAAATGTAAAAATTATATTAGAAATATAAAAATTATATAATTTAAATTAATAAATTACCAAAAGTTAAAAATGAGAATAAAAAATGGAAAGATGAAAAATTTTTCATTAACTTAATCACTTTTTCTTAGTAATTTAATTATATATATGTATTTGTTACTCATTACAATTAATTTTATTATTAGCATTTCTGAAATGGAAGCGAAAAAAAAAATTAAATGAAAATAAATGTTTAATTATCTTTTACTTATTTTTTAATTTCTGATTCAACACTTTTTTGTGCTTTTAAATTTCCTTTTTGTTTTGTTTCAAATTGTTTATTTTCAATTTCGACCAACGTATACAAATCTTAATCGTTTAATTGCGCAAATTGTCTCATCGATAACAGCATCATTGCGATTTGATGGAGCATTAAATGTTGATTTAACTGAATTTCAAACAAATTTAGTACCATATCCAAGGATTCATTTTCCGCTTGCAACATATGCTCCAATTATTTCCAGGTAATACTAAAATTCAATTCCTTTTTTTTTTTTTTTTAATTTAACTTATCAGAAACAGATAATTTTATCGATAAATAAATTTTATAAATTGAATAAGCTGACATGCAAAAAAGAAAAGAAATTAACTAAATAAAATAATTAAATTTTAATAATATTTTATGATATAGTAAGAAAGATACAGCCAGGAAGTGAATTTTGTGAAATATATAATTGTACTGAAATTGTAGACAATCCTGATTTTTTAAAACTATTATTATTATCATGAAAGATTATTTTTTCACGTAATATTAGTAATTTTTACAACTATAATCATTTATTGCTATTATTATTTCTTAACACCATTTGTATAAGCAAATTTAGAATTTTTTTCTTACTGCCCCGTTTCCTTGTGAAACAAAGTAGGTTTCTTTTCTTGATGGTTCAATTCATTGACTGGTAGAATCTCGAATCTGTATTGGTTCCGTTCTGTGTACGTATGCTATCTTCGTGAAATATTTCATTATTCAAACCCCAAACTTGGGTAATTAACCCACAGATTAACATTTAAAATTATACAACATTACAATAATGAATTGATACATAACACACAAATGTAACCTAATTAAAAAACATTTAAAGATATAAGCAAGCTAGACACCTCGCAACCGAGCCATACCAAACAAAGAACTACAATGAATGGCTTTGTAAGGAAGAAAATTGGGAGGGACTTATGGGTGTTAAGGTTACGAAGTGGATTAAAATCACTTAAAAAATAGTCTTTGTTCATTACGTTATAGCTTCGCCATTGTGGCGATACCATTATTCATTATTAATATTATTATTACTATTATTATTAGTTATTTAAAACTTATTTTTCATATAATAATATAAACGATTATTCATATTTTCGTTTTTATTGTTTTATTATTACTGTTACTATTATTATTATTGTTACCATCATTATTACTGCTATTATTATTATTGTTATCATCATCATTTTTATTATTATAACTATTACCATTATTACTAATATTTTATTTACACTTTTATAGTAAGTCTTACTTTTTACTTAAAATAATTTTTGTTTTATGGTAATAATATTCTCATTGATATTATTTATGCATAATAATACTCATTCACAAGTAAATTTCAAATTTTTGCTAAATGAAACATTAAAATTTTAGTGAGCGTGCATTTCATGAGCAGTTAACAGTACCTGAAATAACACGGCAATGTTTTGAACCTGGTAATCAAATGGTTAAATGTGATCCAAGACAAGGAAAATTTATGGCATGCTGTTTACTTTTTAGAGGTGATGTGGTACCTAAAGTAAGCTAATTATTATTTTCAGTTTAGATTTCATATATTTAAATACTATCTTTTCCTCATATATTAAAAAATTTGAAAATAACATTTGATAAGTAAATAAAAGATAAAAATTGATAATTTAAATATTTATCGTTTTTACTCTCATTTTTTTTATTTTTATTTAAAGGATGTTAACGTGGCTATAGCAGCAATAAAAACAAAACGTTCAATTCAATTTGTTGATTGGTAATATATTTTCTGTTTTTTTTTTGGTTCAAAACCTTTTTTTTAATTTAATCATCCTAATTTTTATTTCAATATAAGTGATTAATTAAAAATGAAATGTTAATTTTAACTTTTTTGTTTGATCAATTATAATTTATTATTAAAATGGAATTTTTTTTTTTTTTGCATTCCTAAATTTTAGATAGATTTAAGGTGTCCAACAGGTTTCAAAGTTGGTATTAACTATCAACCACCTACAGTTATACCTGGCGGTGATTTAGCAAAACTTCAACGAGCTGTTTGTATGTTAGCTAATACAACATCAATTGCTGAAGCCTGGGCTAGGCTTGATTATAAATTTGATTTGATGTATGCAAAACGAGCATTTGTTCATTGGTAATTTTAATTTTATTTTTTTTCTTTTTTTCAAAGTTGTTATAATAAATTGTAAAAAAAAATTCAAATTTTAACATTTTTTAAATTATTTTTCAATTTTAGTCTTTTAATTTTTCATAAATTAAATTTTTTTTTTCATTTTGAGGCACAAAATGAATTTCTCAATTTTCGTGCAATAACGTAAAATTTTTTTTAATTAATTTCCTCTTCAAACTTTTTTCAAATATTGTTGAAATTATTAAATTCCTTTTTTCTTTTGCTACTATTATTCATTGGAATTTTTTTTTTTTTATTTAAAAGAATTTACTGAAATTTTTTTTTGTCGTTCTGTTATTATTTTAATTTAATCTTTTTTTTTGGAATTAAAATGTTATTTAAATTTAAATTTGATATGATTAAATTTAAATTGAAATTTTTTCATAAGGTATGTTGGCGAAGGAATGGAGGAAGGTGAATTTGCAGAAGCACGCGAGGATTTAGCAGCATTGGAAAAAGATTATGAAGAAGTAGCTCTGGATAGTTTTGATGATTACTAATTTAATTATTGAAAAATAATTATTAATTAAGTTATGAAAAAAATTATCGATTGAATTAAAAAAGAGAAAAAAAAAATTTTTTTATTCAAATATTATGATTTTAAGTGGTTTTTTTTTTCATTTTTATTCCTTAACATGCATTAAATTTTTAAAACTTTAATTATCAAAAACTTTTTATTATTTTCAAAATATATTTACATATTTTTTTTTTCGCATTTTTGTTTATAAAATATATTTATACTAAATAATTACACAAAATTATGAATGGAATGTAGTATCTTTGTTTAAATTAAAATATAATTTGAATTTTGTTTTGTGATAATTAACACAAAGTATATTAACATTTTTTTAAATAAAAAATAAATTTTTTTGTAACTGAAATAGTTTCTTATCATTTTTTCACTCTAAAGTTATCACTTCGCATTTCTTATTCAAAAGTTACAAAATTCATTTCAAATTTTTTTCGAAATTTATAAGTGTTGCTTTATAATCATTGTATTTTTCATTTTTTTTTTTACATTTGTAATTCACTATTTTAAAAGTTTTAAAACCCTTTTTGAAAAATACAAATTAACTTTTAATTTAAGTTAATTTTTACTCGAATGATTATAATATTTTAGCTATGCATCTTTTTTTTTTTTTTTGGGTTCTCTAAACAATTTAAATCAGATTGCAAAGAAAAAAAAGCATTAATACTATGAAAATTTAATTTTTTTTTTATTTAATTTAAATGTATCAAATTTAAGTTAAATATTTATAAAATGAAAAAGAGAAGGAAGAATGGAAGAAAACGGAGTGAATTTTGATTGAAAATGAGCAAAATTTTTTTTTTTTTTGTTTTTTGTTTCTATTTGATATATCAATTCACTAATACTAAAATCAATATTGAAACAATCGATTAATTAATTTTAAATCAATGAAAAATATTAAATATACAAAGTTATTATAATTTTTTATTTTACATATGTTCTTTAATCCATACAATACTAAAGTGATGATACAAATAAATTTCTATTTTAATTGTTTACACACACATGCACACACACACAAACATGCATACAAGTACGTACATACACAAGTATGCATACACATGCACACACACACACACACAAACATGCATACAAGTACGTACATACACAAGTATGCATACACATACACACACACACACACACAAACATGCATACAAGTACGTACATACACAAGTATGCATACACATACACACACACACACACACAAACATGCATACAAGTACGTACATACACAAGTATGCATACACATACACACATACATACATACACGTGCATAACTATACACACTCAACTTCAAAACACTAATTGAATTCATCTTATAAACAAACTTTTTTCTTCTTTCGTTTTTTTTTTTTGGTCCTTTTCTGTCATGTTTGCAATTTTTGTCGGATGACAGAAGAAAATGTGACAGTATAGCGACAGCTTATCATGTCAACTTCGTCTTCCATCTATTCCTGTCCCGTTCCCACTCCTCTTCTTTCCTTCTCCTTTTCGTCGCTTCACCGCCACTTTACTTCTTATTTTTTTTTCTTTTTTTTTTTGAAATTCATTCATATATTTATGTATGATATTAATTTTGTAAATGATATTATTTGTTTTTATTTTATTTGATTTATTTCAAACTTTTTTCCACTTAAAAAAATTGAAATTTTGTCAGAATATATGTGTGTTGTTCTTCTTTGTTTTTTTTTTTTTTTTTTTTTGTTTATATTTTTGTTTGTTATCTTAGCATATATTTCAATTCAATTAGTTTAAAATTTAAAACAGAATTTTACCAAAATTTTTAGATGTCAAGATGTTATTAAAATGTAAACTTTGTACTTATATTATTATAATGTGTAAAATTTTTAAGAATATTAAAAAAAAAAGATACTTTATCAATATATATGAGAATGATCTAATATTCAAAGCTATTTTATCACTACACGTCAATATCTCAAGCTATTTTATCACTACACGTCAATATCTTAAACTATTTTATCATTACACGCAAGATTGATGCAATATCTATGATTTTTTTTATCATTGCACGTAAAATATCATCATATTTAACACTGTTTTATCATAATAATTTTTTATCATAACAGAATGATATGATATTTAACAGCTTTATCATAACACGTGAGCACGTAAGAGTGAAACGATATCAAAAATTGTTTTATCATAACACGTAAGAATGACTTAATATTTAAGATCAGAAAAAAAGAAAAAAAAAAACACGTTTTCATTATTTATACGTGAATATCATTTTGTTTGTATTAAAATTAATTTGTTTAAATAAAAGTACGAAATGACTAATACAAATTATACCAGTATTTTATATTTCGTCATAATAATAATAAAAAAATAAAAAAATTTCAAAACAGGAATTTGCATTATTATTTCATTTCTTAATTTTACTTATCGCCCTCAAATAAATTTCTATATTTAGCTTATCAAATTTTTAACCTTCTCAATTTGGTTATTTTAATTCATTAATTTTAATTTAATATTCAATTAATATAATTTATTCCTATTTAATGTCATGTTCTCGCTTTTTTTTTTTAAAGTTTATCAAAATATTTTGCAAATTTTACCAATTTAACATTTTTTGGATTATTTATTTTCTTTTTAATTCAAGCTAAAAAATATTTATTAAAATTATCTGAGATAAATATTCATTAAAAGTTGAAGAAAAATATTTATTGAAATTAAAAAAAAATATGTATATTACAGCAAATCTGATGCAAAACCAATATGATTAATATCATTATGACTTTTAATGTTCATTTGTTAATAATATGCTTTCCTTATCATTTTCTTCTCTTATCATCTTATCAATTTTTTTTTTTCGGCATTGCTTTTTTACGTTACTTTGTTGTTCGATTAAAAAATATTCAACAAGAGAGTGCATTCTTCTTTTTTTTGGATGGAAAAAAAATTTTTATGATTATTACTTGAGCTTATCAGTTTCAAAATTTACAGACAAAAGTTTCTAATGATAATAATAATAAAATGATTTTGAAATGACTGTAATAAAAGTAATTTTTTTAGTTGCAAAAAAAGAAAAAAATTAAAAAAGTAATGTTCGAAACGAATAATATGCAAAAACAATTTAAATTATTAATTAGAATTTTAAGAAAATAAAATAAATAAAAAAATTGGTAAGAATAAAAATATTAATTAATTAATAATAACGACAATTTATAGTATGTGACAATGATATAAGCAATGTGTAACAATAATTTTGAAAAAACAATCCAATTAATTAAAAAAAAAAACTTTTTTTCCCTTTTGTTCTTTCTTTTAAAAATGCAACAGTTAAATGTTTTATTTTACAATTAATGCTAAAATAATTTTTTTTTTCAAACGAGAAAAAATAAAAAAAATTCATTCCTATTATCAATTTTTTGTTTTTGAAAAAAGAAAAATTTGCTTGAATTTAATAAAATGTAATTGCGTTTTTATTCTCACAATTCAAACATTTCTATAATTTATTAGTTAAAATTTGCTAATCCTTTTTGATTTCTTTTATAATTTAAAAACGAAATTTTGAATTAGAAGAAAATTTTTTTAACAAATCAAATAATGCTTTAATAATATTCTTAATATTTCCTTTTTTCATCATCTTTTATTTTTGTTTTTAAATTTGGTACTAAAGAAAAAAAACTTTTCTTATTTATCTTTTTTTTTTAAGATATATTAAATATATTTTGCATATTTTGTTAGTTTACTTTTTATTTTTAGTTATTTAAACTTTTTTTTTTTTTTTTTAACTTTTGAATGAAATTTTTTTTTTCTCTCTGAGCTGAATAACATATTTATCAAAGAAACTTATTCACAGTGTATTCATCGTATTTGTTTGATTTATTATAAGTAACGTTGATGCAAGTTTACTTAGCATTTAAATCATATTATAATCTTTGGCCAATTGATTTTTTAAACATTATTTTTTTTAAAATTTAAAAACAAAAATAAATTATTTTTTCAAGATTTGATAGAGCTTTCTAATAGCAAATAGTTATTGGTATAATTTTAATAAATTGATGAAACAAATTTAGCATTTAAATAAATGTTACTAAATTAAATTGTTTGAAAGCATTAAAAATAATTTGGCACAAATTTTACTTCTAATTAAAAGTTGCTTTTTACTAAAAAAAAATCGCGAATTCTATCAAATTTATAGATTTGATTTCAAATTTTAAAGATAAATTATTTATTTTCATCATCTTTTATAATAGATAATACTTATGAAACGATTTTTTTCTTTTTTAATCTAAAAAATTTTTTTAACAAACCAAGAAAAAAAATTGGCAAAATATTTTTCGGTTTATAAAATTTTAAAAGACTTTATAATGAATTGAGAGCATTTATTTATGATACAAAATAAAAAAACGAAAATTCTTTCTTCCGGTTTATTTATTTTCTTTTCAGTATATTTTTATCAAAAATAAGAAAAGCTAATAAAAAATAAATAAATCAAAAAAAGTTTTTCCACTAAGATTTTAAAAATAATTTCAAATAAATTAAAGCAAAAAGAAAAGATAAAATGAAAAAAAAAAAATCATACAACAATATTTTCATTTTCCTTTTAGAATATTTTTAGTAAATAAGAAAAACTAAGAAAAAAACGAAAAAAAAAAGAAATTTTTCTATTGAAATTTTAAAGGTTTTTTTCTTTTTTTTTTTTTTTGAAATGAACTAAAAACATTCTTTATGACATAAAAAACGAAAGAAAAAAAAAGTAAATAAGCAAATAATAATATTATTATTTGAACTTTTTGTCATTTCCGTTCTTTTTAATTTTTTTTCTTCCCTTTTTTTTTAACTTTTACAAATAAACTAAAAAAATAATTTACTAATTTTGTCAAGAAAATTGTTAAAATTGAAAAAAGTTGAAAAATTATTTTCTTTAATTGTTTTAAAATCAAATTTTGTTTACATATTCAATTTTTTACTAAAATCTTTTTTCTTTTTTCAATTATTTATTTG